TGACTATGACCTTGTCTAAATATGATCAGAGTTGATGAACTCAAAAGGCTTCCGTAGCCTTGGCACCTCGTGACAAGAGCCTACGGTGATTAATTATGCCATAAACAAGAGTGTCATATTGTTAAGTCAACAACAGGAGTCACTGTGCACTTACTCCTCATGTATGATCTCTGTCCTTAATTTGCTATACATTGTGATTTAATGCTATAACTAGTACTCAAACAGTATTTTTCACTTTGTGTTTCTATGTGGGTGCAAACTGTTGAAATCTTTACTTAATATATGCTAAACTGATCTTCTGTATATAAAGAGAATTGAAAATGAATCTTGATGTGAATGGAAGGGGAGAGGTAGAGGGAAAGGGGAGGGTTGCGGGTGGGAGGGAAATTATGGGGGGGAGCCATTGTAATCTATAAACTGTACTTTGGAAATTTATATTCATTAAATAAAAGTGAAAAAAGAGAACAAAAAAAATCATAAGAGCATTCAAGTACAAGTCATTCTTAACAATGGAAAGGAGATAGATATTGTTGTTTTCCAGCTTTGAAGAAGTTAAGAGTTCCAAAATGTTTAAGTATCCATGTTGACCCACATTTTTTGCCTTTAAAGAGGTTACCGTCAAGGAGGATGAGCAGACCAGAATCATTGTTGTGGCCAGATTCATGAGGAGTGGTAGGAATCTAAATGATAATTGTGCACACACAGGTCACCATTGGTTTTTTTTGAATAGTATTTCCAAGGTGGAATTAAGAGCATTACAGTGTTTTGATAGAATACAACTAAAGTACTAAGATACAGTTGTCTCTATTCACATGTGGGAACTTACTCAAAGAAGTGGTAGAAAAATCTGACTGCAGGGTCTTAGTGTAGGCTTTGAAAGTAACATTCACAGTCATTTAAGTGTTGCTGATGGGAAAAGTACTTGTGAGAATATGTAGCATTTAGAGTCAGTATTATATAAAACCCTGTAAATCAAATTTCTAGACAAAGATGTGATGCTGAAGTCATTCCAAGATTATATTGCCATTGTCCATTCATGGAGACATGCATAGAATCAGGAGCCTGAAAAGAGTGATGATCTCTTTAAGATCCATCAATGGGGCAAACAAACCTTGCTTTCATTATGGAAACATTTGCAAAGGACAGCTTCTGATTTCCCAAATTTCATGTCATTGGGCTTATTAATTCATGTCAGTCATGAACTCTGGGAATCGACAACAATCCCAGTTGTGAGTAAAGGACCTGTGGAAGTGATACAGATTTGGGAGAGCTGAGAATTTGTTCTGAAGTTGAGATTAAGAATTGACTCTGTGTATATCAGACGTTTCATACCTTGTTCTTAAAAACAGAATAGTTGATGTGTTTGTAGGAATAGATAGCATGCAAGGATTCAAACTTTATAACATTCGTTAGTGTTTTTGTAAAAGCTGCTTTGGTTTTCAGTCTTTACTGTATTTCACTGCCTTTTCACTCCTGTAAATTAACTATTCAACTGCTAGGCAGTCTTTATAACTTCATGTTTTACATAATTATTATCTGTTCTGCTTCATAGAAAATTGTACTCCACCCAAATTAGAAGCAATCAAATAAATTAAAGCCAATAGTAGTCCAATTCACATAAGTGAATGCAAGAGGCTCAAGGATTTGTAAGTACTGATTTGGCAGCATCTAAGTTGCTGCTGGCACAAAACTTCTATTTATTTGTATTATTAGAAGGATATAATATAAGTCTTTGTTAATGAAAAACTCAAGAAGGAGGTGATTAAATAGAACTAAATACTTCCTAAACGTATGTACTACTTATTTGTTGATCGGTATCGGGAAATACTGAAACTGACTAGTGTAAAACACTTGGTCCCAGGGAACAGGGTCTTGTATGTACATTTTATTAAAGACTTGTTTGTTTGAAAGGCAGAGTTGACACAGAGATCTTCCATCTGCTCTTTCACTCCCCAAATGGCCACAATGGAAAGGGTTAGGCCAGGCCAAAAGCAGAAGCCTGGAACTGCATTCGGGTCTCCAAAGTGGTGCATGGACCCAGGCACTTATGCCCTCATCAGCTGCTTTCACAGGCAGATTAGCAGGGAGCTGGAATGAAGTGGAGCATTGGGACTTGAACCTGTGCTCACATGGGGTGCTGGCATTGTGGGCTGTGGCTTAACCCACCAAACCATAGTGCCAACTCCTATCAGGTCCATTTCTAAAACAATGGAAATCTTTTGTGAAAATCACTTCGGTCAGACCTGCTTGGTAAAGTAATCCCAACAACGTTTCTTTCCTTGCTGCTTCACTGCTGGACTGCCTGCAACTGCTTGGGCTGGGCCAGGCCAAAACTAGGAGCCGGGAACTCAATCCAAGCCCCCCAAGTTGGTGGAAGGGAACCAGATGATTGAGTCAACATCGACTGCCTCCATGTGTGCATTAGCAGGAAATTGAATCAAAAGTGGTGCTTGGTCGTGTATGGAGTTTGGATTTCAAACCAGGGTTTGATTCCCAACTGCATCACTTACTCTCATATGTTTTTAAAAATGTTGTAATCTGTGTATGCCTTCATTCTGCTTCTGTTTTCTCCATTGCAGCCTTACATTCTAGTCATCTGCTGGACCCTCACCCACCCATTCTTCCACTGTTGCACCACCATCCTTCCTACTCTTTGTTAGCTTTAACCTGCTTGAGGGCCTACATACTTGCCTCCCACTCCATCCTCTCTATATATCCTCCCATTCCTTCTGGCCTACCACATCGGACTCACTTTCCTCCCCGCCTCTGTATCAGCCTCCTCATCCCGGTTGGTCCTGCACACTAGCCTCACCCTGTTGTCAAGGCCAGCCTCACTCTACCTTTGGTCCACAAAAACATCCACCCCTCATCCTCATCTGCCACCTCAAGCAGTAGGATTTGTAAGGCAAAAAGTCAATGAATATCATTGAGAATAAGAATTTCAGGTTTTGTTTTTAAAATTATTTATTTATCTATTGAAATGCAGAGTTACTGAGAGGCAGAGGTAGAGATATTGAGAGAGAGGTCTTCCATCTGCTGTTTCACTCGTCAAATGGCCACGACAGCCAGAGCTGCATCTATCCAAAGCCAGGAGTCTGGAGCTTCCCCAGGTTTCCAATGCAGGTATAGGGACCCAAGGTCTTGGGCCATCCACTTCTGCTTTCCCAGTTGATAACAGAGAGCTGGATTGGATGTGGAACAGCCAGGACTCAAACCAGCTCCCACATGGGCTGCTGGCACTGCAGGCGTAGGCCCTATGCACTATACCGCGTCGCTGGCTCCAGAATTTCCATTTTAACATTTTTCCTACTTGCTTGCATTTCCATCTAAGAAGGTGTTCATGAGATGCTAGATTCAGATTCCTTCAGACGTGAAGAATCTATTAAATCAAGGATAACGGCCCTCATGCACTAGTCCTTCGATTCCAGTTCATGCAGATTGAATTTTTTTGACAGGCAGAGTTAGACAATGTGAGAGACAGAGAGAAAGGTCTTCCTTTCCATTGGTTCACCCCCGAAATGGCCACTCTGGCCGGTGTGCTGCGCCAATCAGAAGCCAGAAGCCAGGCGCTCCCTCCTGGTCTCCCATGTGGGTGCAGGGCCCAAGCACTTGGGCCATCCTCCATTGCCTTCCCGGGGCACAGCAGAGAGCTGGACTGGAAGAGCAGCAACAAGGACAGAATCTGGCGCCCCAACCAGGACAAGAACCTGGAGTGCCGGTGCTGCAGGCAGAGGATTAGCCAAGTGAGCTGCGGCACCACTGCAGATTGAATTTGCGAATGGTCTGGTGCTTCTTTCACACAGTCAGTGATTTTCCAAGGTCAACCATATTTATTCCTATTTCACTCAATTTTAGCATTAAGATTTATAAATTGTGTCTGTGAAATACGGAGCATGGCATGAGATCTGATAATGAGTAGCACCATGCATTGAGTCGAGGTAATGGGCCCTGGTGTTCCACAGAAGAGTAGGGTTTTGTAGCCAGTTGCTGCACATACCGGTTGGAATATTGGACAATGCTCCATAAAATGTAAGGGATTTCCGCTAATCCCAAAATTTAAGAAACAAAATCACTGACACTTGACTGAGTATTGGGCCATTTGGGGAAAGTAATTTCCCTCTGCCTGTAGGAATGCAATTTATGCACACAACTGGGGCCTGAATAGCATGGAACCTCAAGAAGATGAAGTCTCCTACCTCAGAAAACTACCCAAAACACTTTCTTTTTTTAAAAAAAATTTATTTATTTATTTGAAAGGCAGAGTTACAGAGAGGCAGAGGCAGAGAGAGAGAGAGGTCTTCCATCAACTGGTTCACTCCCCCATTGGCTGTAACGGCCAGAACTGTGCCAATCCAAAGCCAGGAGCCAGGAGTTTTTTTCCAGGTCTCAGTTGGATGCAGGGGCCCAAGGACTTAGGCCATCTTCTACTGCTTTCCCAGGCCAAAGCAGAGAGCTGGATTGGAAGTGGAGCAGACAGGACTCGAACCAGCACTCATATGGGATGCTGGCACTGCAGGCAATGGCTCTACCTGCTGTGCCACAGTGCCATGCCCCCTCCCCATACTTTGTTTAGAAGTCTTTATGTCTCAGTTTATTACCCTTCCACAGCTCTTGGTGTTCCAGCCTGTCGCCAATGGAATTTAGCAGATGCACTGACAATAGGCTGTGACTGTGATTTCAGAGATCATGGAAATGTGTTCTCCAGTGCAAACTTGTTAGGAGAAATCAGTGTTCATAATCCAGTAGAAATGAAAATGCATTAATGCAGAGCTGGCGCTGTGGTAAAATTGTCTCCAATTTTATATGCAAATGTAATTTTTAACAGTGATTTTTTTTTGTACATTTTAGTAAGATTCACAGTGAAGATGCAGGTTTGTGTGTATGTGTGAAATATAGGAAATGAAACATGAGTAAAAGATAGTTGATTTCTACACATGGGTATCACACTGGGTATTGCCATCCCATATGGGGCTTACCTCACTGTGGATAAGGGTTTCCACTACCTTTGACTTTTGGAGTCGCTCCTCTGTGAGAGACGACTTGACACGTGTGTAGTGATGCCCCATGCCCACAAGGCCTTTGTGCGCATGCGTGGTGCCCCCACCTTCTGAGGTGCACGCTGTGGAATGTGTACAGCAGCGTTGCTTGGCACCGGCTGTTCATTCTGAGCTGAGAGACTGCAGACTGCGGAGCCACGCTGTGGCACCGTGGTGTTCCGACCAGTTGATTGGTGTGTTTTTGTGTTCCAGATGTGGCGAAAAGCCGCTAGGTGCCTCAAGGATGAGGAAAATTGTCTGGTGGGCTTCAAAGAAGTCCTCCGTCGGGTGCGAGAATGGGATTGAGGCTCAATTTGGCTACCACATCCGACGCAAGGAGCTCCGGAAGCTCCACAAGGCCGCCAGTGAGGGGGACGTAGCCAGGGTCCAGCACCTCTGCTTGCTGAAGAAAAGCAGCGTGAATGACCGCGACAGGAATAACAGGTAACGGGGCTTGGGGGTGGGTGGCAAGGGCGGCCGAAGCGCCCCCTCCCGGGCTCTCCTGTGCCTGCGGATGCCTGCCTTGCTGCCCTCCATGGGCCTCAGCACTGGACAGCAACCCCTGTGCTCCTTGAGGTCTTCCTGAGTAGAGCAATCAAAAACCAGCTTCACCTGGGTTCTGATTTCTCCCTCTCTTCCCCGCCCCCAAAACCATTTACTTAAGGTGTACACACTTCCTAATAGTACAACTTCAGGAACATAGTGATTCTTCCCACCCCTCTTCTTCCCTGTCCTGTTCCCATCCTTATAATTTATTATGAGCTATTTTCAATTAACTTAATACGTAAATAATTAACTCTATACTAAGTAAAGAGCTCAGTAAATCGTATGAAAAAACAAAACAAAAAACTTGTTCTACAACAGTTGAGACAGGGTTGTTCAAAGTCATTGTATCTCAAAGTATCCATCACACTTAGTGAAATAAGCCAGTCCCAAAGGGACAAATACCCTATGTTCTTAACTAATCGATCACCTCAAAGGTAACCTAGAGAAGTGAAATTGGCATTTTGAACTCCTGTTAATTCCACTTGGACAGCACCGAGTTGGCAATGTAGAGTGATTTAACCAACAAAATTAATTCTGTACAGCCTTCATCTTTAGTATGCATGAGTTCAAAACTGTATTGTTGTAAGTAGTATAGAAAAGTGCATAAGGAGAGAATTTACCGAATTTATCACTAAAATTCTAAGAGCAAATTCCAACATCCCTACCCGTCTGCGTATTAATGTTTTTGAAGGCTCTTAGATGAAAATGTTGACTGACTGCGTGTTCTTAAACAGGAGGAGTTACTTCTATCAACAAATCGTGAGGTTTTAACAGTTTATCAGTTTTATATGAATCCAATAAAAATATCAAGGTTTCTTTTCTTTTAGTTGCATAAATAATGTCATTTACCTATGTGATAATATCAGATCGTAATGTATTAAAGACTTACTCATCTAGATATAAAATGTTTTATGTTTCAAGACAAATTAACAAAGTACATAAAACATACTTAGAAAAATATTTGCAGCACATTTATTTCAGATGAATTTTTTTTACTGAGGTTTCTTTGAAGTGAAAAAGGAAGAAAACTATAGTCTTTGAAATTAGGCAACGTGAGTGGAAGCTTAGCCTACTATTCCACAGCACCTGCTTCTAAAAGTGTATTATTAATGAAATAATGTCTGGGTAGAGCAGATAAGGAATCTTGCATAGATAAAACTTTCCTAGTTTCTATTAACTTTCTGTGTGCCTGACCATCTAGGGTAGCATGCACTGCCACCATCTGTGATACCCATATGGGCACCATTTTGTGTACTGCTAACTCCACTTCTGATTCAGTTACCTGAAAATGGCCTGGGAAAAGCATCAGCAGATGGCCCAAGTACTTGGCTCTTGCAACCCACATCGGAGACCTGGATGAAGCTCTTGGCTCCTAGACTCATCCAGGATTAATGTTGACATTGCAGCCATCGGAGGAGTGAATCAGCAGATGAAAGATTTCTTTTTCTTTCTGTCTCTGTCTCTGTCTCTCTTTGTAAGTTTTACTTTAAAAATAAATAAATCTTTAAAAAAGATTTTAAATCCTGCCAGTTATAGTAGTAATGAATTATAGATTATACTAAACGGCACCCAAGGTCAGAGATTAAACTCAGAAGAAATGAGCACCCTGGAATCACTGAAATAGAATGCTGTCTGTAATGGTTAGGGCATATCTGCAAAGCCATAATAAATGTATTATTTTACTTAACAAAAATGTTTAGGTTAAGTAGTAATGGGAATTATATGTATCAATCATTAAATTATCAGTTGTGCTAAGAACTGTTATAAATAAAGTGTGTAGGTTTTGTTTAAGCAACAATTTTCTCCCCATTTTATCAGTCAGGAGGTATTTGAGGCACAGAAATAGTAAACAGTAGTTGGCAAGTAGTGGAGCATAAAGCAACCTTCCAACTAAGTTGTGATGAAGGTCAAGGCCATGCTGTTTCTCCTTCAAAGTTGTTTCTTTAATGTAGGGAGTAATGATGACTCAAAATACCATGGTTCCTCCAAAAGAAAAGTAACTCTGAAGGAGGGTTATGGCACGGTATGTAGAGTTTATAAGGACAAGAATAATTGTCTGTTTTGACATTGTGCACCATATTGATTTCTAAAAAGCCCTCTCATTTCACAGGACTGCCCTACATTTGGCATGTGCCAGTGGTCATTCAGAAGTGGTGATGCTCCTACTTGAAAGAAAATGCATGATCAATGTCACTGACAATGACAACATGACACCTCTGATGAAGGTATATATAGCCTATTTCAACATGAGGTGGGTTTGATTACAACACTTAGAATAAAAATGAACTCATCTCATTTATATATACCAAACTGGTGAAACCTGTGGAATGTTTCTTTTGAATTCCCAGCACTTAACAATTTATTTCTTGGTGTATGACTGACAGGCTGTTCAGAGCCATGAAGAAAAATGTGCACGAATTCTACTCAATCATGGGGCTGATCCAAATATTATAGATGAGAATGGCAACACAGCCCTCCACTACGCAGCCTACTGTGAGAATGTTGGAATAGCAAAACAGTTACTCTTAAGAAGTGCCGATATTGAAGTGAGGAACAAGGTAGGATCAACCAACTTCATTTGGAACATATTTAAAATAAATTTCTTCTAAGAGTAACATATAGAGTCACTTTTCTATATGCTTAAACAATCCTTGGATGAAAATATTTTAAAATACTGGTCTACAAATTCACGTTATATATTGATCCTTTTAAAGAACGTTTAGAGAAGGCAGCTGTCTTTTATGCACTAATGGAAACTATTTATGAATATTCTGAAAATGTTAAATATAAGACATTGTGTCCAACATTTTTCCACTCAAGTTTTTTTCCTAGTTAGTGGGAAAAAAACACAGAAAAGCAAAATTTGCCTTGCATGTAACCTTTGGTTTAAAACTCAACCCAAAAGTATGTTACAGTAAATAGAACTTATGGAAAGTTCTTAATTATATTTTGAGTTAAAGATGCTGTCTGTCAATGGGAAGGAAAATGGGAAAGTTAAAAGGAAAGGAAAGTCAGAAACAAGTAGGCCAGTCTGCCAATGAGGTCACTCAGAGAAGTCCTCAGAGGACAGTTTTTTTGTTTTGTTTTGATTTTACCTTTTTCTTTAGTTGATATGTTAAGAAATAGTTTTCTTCAAATCTGGGGGTATGATTTCTGAGTTTTGTCAAGAGAGTTGCTGTCTTGCTTTTTGATCAAGTTTAGGAGAAGGCTGTGGAAACCAGATGAGTGACTAGGTGATGATCAGCCAGTGATGGATAGGGGAAAACAAATTGTTGGGAAGACTTACTATCATCTGATAGAATGAGCTGTGTAGATAAGAGTCTAAAGGCTTCTATAGTATAGAATGTCTTGTTGGAAAGGATGGTGAAAAAGCAGCTTCTAAGTAATGAAAGCGAGTTGGACTTTGAGTTTGCTGTCTGTAATCTACAGTTGCAGAGGACAATTAAATGCAGTTTCAGAAGTCTTTCTATCTCTAACCCTTTCCTCTTTTTGGTGGAAGCTCCAAATGATGAATGAGATTGTTTTATGGGTAAAAGAAGAGACTTCATTGATTGTTGGCTACTACTGTAGATCTCAACTAGAATTGTGCATTACAGTGACCTGGAAGGAGTTACAATTTGCAAGTCTAGGCTCTTCTGTGAACATTCTGATTCAGTAACTGTGTTAAGGCCTGGACGTACACATATAGCTAAAAATATTTTTTGAGACAGAACTGGTTCAGTAGGAGTTGGAACTTGGTAGCTTCTACTTTCTTCAGCTGTCCTTTTTAAATCTGGTAATCTGATTTTCCTGTCTTTCTTGAGTAGTATCATTGATGATCGGCATAGAGAAAACATTTTTTTCCTGCCAACCATAAACCATTCACTGCTATTCTAGGGATCCTGAGAAATTTTCTTATGGATAGTTTTTTAATAAGTAAAGGGTGACACTTTAAATATTTCTTATCTCTTACTTATCATTGAGTCATTAGATAAAAATGTTTTATAAACTTTTTTTCATGATTTCAGTTGTAGAAATTTACCAAGTTTTCTTCTAGTTGAAGTTAAATAAAAGAGTATTTCAGTATATATCTGAATTTTATGTAATGCAATACATAATTAGTGTAGCAGTTTTAAACTGTAAGCCATGGAGTGAGTAGGAACTCAGAATATTTTAGTTTCAGCATCCTTTTAAACAATTATCTATTTAATTAACTATTGGAAGAATGGAGTACAATTTGATTATATATTACATGTTGGAAAACTTTTTGTATCAGGTGTTGTAACTTAATATTTAGCCTTTTAAAGTAAAAAATGATACTAAATACATGCAATATTTTAAAGTGAATATTGGCTTTATATAAAACTATAGCTGGCAACAAATCTGCAATGAATCTCTAACCAGAAGGGCAATAGACTAACCATAGCCTAAGCGTATGTTTAGATTCTACCCAAAAATTGTGTCAATATGTAAAACTTAGAAGATACAGGAAGAAATATGAAGTTCAGATTTATGTTAAATAATCCTTCTGATATCCGTTGAGCCCATAGTACTGTGTTGTGTGCTGTGCAGAGGTTGCCCCCTTTATACAATTATATGCTCTCCCATATTCTACTGTCCACACCCAGCTAGTTCACTGACTTGGGTCACCTGCTTTTCCACCATACATATTTGAGTTTACAACTCCATTGGTGGGGTCTCTTTTTATAAATATTTTAAGCTTTTCATGATAGTTTTTCTTAATTTATAATTTGTATTACTCTCTTAGATATGACATTGAGTTTTAGAAGCAATATAAAGATTTTTCTCTCTTACTCTCCCCTCCTCTTTCTGCTTCCTCCCATTCTGTGACATTAAAATAAAATAAAGAACTGAACAGAAAGAAATAACATTTTTGTTTTTTGAAAGTTTTTCTTGATATAGAATGTGAATAATCATGTTCCATTAGAATGTTTATTAGCCTTATGAAGTGGATCATGGTCCTTTGTACACACCCTGTGTATGCTGCAGACAACATGGCCTTTTCTTCAGCATTGTCCCTTAAAAATGCAAGTGGCGTAGTAGCTTTCATTATGTTAAAAAGCCAGACATGTATCAATATAGGATTTTTTACTGTTAAACCATTGTATTTATATATTTTTAAAACATAAAATGTAACTTTTTTTATTTTTATTTTTTGACAGGCAGAGTGGACAGTGAGAGAGAGAGAGACAGAGAGAAAGGTCTTCCTTTGCCGTTGGTTCACCCTCCAATGGCCGCCGCGGTCGGCGCGCTGCGGCCGGTGCACCGCGCTGATCCGATGGCAGGAGCCAGGAGCCAGGTGCTTTTCCTGGTCTCCCATGGGGTGCAGGGCCCAAGGACTTGGGCCATCCTCCACTGCACTCCCTGGCCACAGCAGAGAGCTGGCCTGGAAGAGGGGCAACCGGGATAGAATCCGGCACCCCAACCAGGACTAGAACCCGGTGTGCCGGCGCCGCTAGGCGTAGGATTAGCCTAGTGAGCTGTAACTTTTAAGTAGTAATTAAAATTGAAATCAGAATAAAAACATTTACGAAGGTAGATACATATGAAAATATCAGAATTATCATTGTATTGAGAATAAAGTTTTGTTCTGAGTTTTCTAACAGCTAAGATAAAAATCTGTACTCTTAGAATCAGAGAAAAAGCCTAGGGCATTTAGTAGTCATCAGTTGTAGTTCATTTGAAGTCCGTATCTCCTCAATCAGAGCCTATTTGCTTAGTGACCCATTTGGAGCAAGAGTGCCTGACAATGGCATCTAGGATCCTGACACCACTGATAGAAAAGAATCAAGTGAGTTATAGAAATGTGAGGAACCTCCATATTTATTGACAAGTTCTCAGAACTGTATTCCTCCAATATCTCAAATCTAATATCTCAAATCTAAAAGTTTGCTACAAAGATGTTATTTAGACATAAAGCAAAGTTAAAAATATTTCTAAATATTGGAAATATGTTTTGTTTTGTAATTTTTTACAAACATACATGATAATAGAAAGTTTCTATTGGGACACAGTATATAACTTGTGGAAAAATAAATATTCTTGAGAATTGAGAAATATTGTTCTAGAGATAGTCATGGTGGTCATGGAATCAATTAAAAATACCTAAATCTTTACTGTTACATCTTAAGTTTTGAAGCTTTAGAGATAGAAACAAAACTGGGATTAGATGAGGTGTAATCAAATGATCATAATATGCCATCTAAATACTTAAATAGAACCAAGAGTCTTGGATCCAGCAAATGTTGTTTGTGAATATTGAGGTGATTGTAGTTTGTGGGATGAGGTAGAAGATTGGGCCTTTTCATGAAGAAGGGGCAGCACATGTGACACCATGGGGGTGAAATGGATTATATTGCTATATCTTTTCTGTATAATTATGCTTGAGTTTGTAAGATCATTTATAAGGCCTTCCATTTTGTTGAGAAACATGTAATTTGGTGAATGTTAATTTGTTTTACAGGATGGCTTCACACCACTATTACTTGCAATATATGAAAATGGTGAGGAAATAGCAGAATTTTTGATTAAGAAAGGAGCCAATATTCATGCTGTTGATAAGATTAAACGGTACAGTAATTTGTTTGTTAAACTGAGTGTAGTGCAAGAGTGATGAAAATCATATAAGTCAGAAATAATAAAACAGTAATAAAAATAACTTACAATTATTGGTATATAGTGTAAAACCTCAATGCAAATCATCAGTTATTTAGGAAAGCAATTATTGAAACTAAGCAACAAAAAGAACCAATGTTGTAGGATTCAATTCTCATATTGACCGATGTTCAATTGTAATTGTTTTTTAAGTCATATGATCTTTTATTTAAAAAAAGATTCACTTTATAGTTTCTTATTTTATAAGGTATATGCTTTTAGTTTACTTTTTGATCTATTGTGCTTCTTAACCCTGTTATAATATATTTAATTCCATTTTATGTACTTTTGAAAATGTTACATTAACCAAAAAGGATATTAAAACCAGTTTGTCTATTTTATGATTTTACCTCTAACTGCTTTCTTTAAAGAATATTGATGTTACGTTATCCCTAAATGATTACAAATTGCTAGTGTCAGATACTGAGTTTTCAACAGTTTTTCATATTTCTAGTGTGTTTTGATATATTTTCATTTTTAAAGGTATGTATTTTAAAAGACATAAAGAGAGACAGAAAGAGAGAGGGACAGAGAACACCCAAATACAGATTCACTCTCCAAATTCTTAAACAGCCCTGACAGGGCCAGGCTAAAGCTGGGAACATGGGACACAATCCATTGCTCCCACGTGGGTGACAGGAGTACAGTTATTTGAGCCATTGCTGCTGCTTTCTTCAGTCTGGATTAGCAGGAAGCTTTGGTCAGAAACTGGGGCTGGGAATGCATGTATTCCAGTACAGGATGTGTTTTTTTTAAAACTGCTGTCTTAATTGCTGGATTAAATAACTGGCCCAGATTTTTTACTTTGGCATATAGAATTAGTATTACAGAATTGATAATATAGAAGAGTGAGAAAGATAATTTCAGTTGGATAAACTTTTTCTTTAATGAAGACCAGTCTTTGGTGAGTGACACAGAGAAAAGGCTTGCAAATTGGGCTCCATTATTACATACAGCACTTGCTAGGTGTGTGACTTTGGGGACATTATTATCAAATGTTATCTGATATGAAGAGGGTAGCACAATAGGCTTCAAAGGTGGTTCTATGTGATTCAAAATGCGTGTATATAGCATTTAATTCAGTACCTGACATATGTGTTTGAACATGGTTGACTGAAACTGCCGGGAGTATTATTCCTGCTATGTTAAACATTATCACCTTAAGCCTGCAGTTCACTTTTACTTATTGCGATCTCTACCTGACTTTGAGATACAATTTGTTATATCCAGCTAGAGAAGAAATACATAATTCTTCATTTTAATGTTTACACACTTCAGAAAAGTAACCTTGGCAGAGTTCTTGTCCATCAGAGGTTTAATTAGTCCCTACTGTGGAATTAACCCAGTGGGAAATAAAGCCTTCCTTTTGGTTCTTTGCATTTAGTCTTGGAATAATTTATAAACATAAACATTCAATCTCCCAGAATACCTGTGTGCTTTAGTACATGTAAACATCAAATCTACAGAGACAGGCAGATATGAAATTGGTAAAATATATCACATTAGCTCTTGAAATCACATTATTGATGTCTCTAAGGGTGAAGTTATGTCTTTGTTTTTTTAGGACGGCTCTCATGCTGGCCGCACAATATAGATCTACTAGGATAGTAAGGCTTCTTCTAGAAAAAGGAATTGATGCCTCTTGCTTAAACATGTACGGATGGCCTGCAGAGAAGTTTGCTCTTGTTACATTCAATCTGTAAGTGTTTGTCTTGAAAGGCTAGTGAATCTTAAATTGAACAAAGTAATTATAACTATTCCATGTTATATATCAGGTAACACTTCGTTATTTCTGGAATGACAGCTACTTCACATCAGTGATCTGAAGCCAAACAATGGGTTCCATATAGTTATCTCAGGAGGGTGAAGACTTTTATCCTTAGTGGTCCCAATATTGTGCTTTTTCAGTCCACATATAACCCCAATGCATGGGTTCCAAATAGTGTCACATTTTTGATGCTTCTAATTATTTAATTGGGTGCTGAGATTTTAGTTTTAGAACGAAATCTTGTATTTCCTGGGTGAGCCATCTTGAAATTTCCAAGAATATGAGGCAGGGTTGAGGAAACATTTTTCTGTAAAGGGTCACTTGGATATTTGTGACACCACTTATGGGCCATACAAAATTATTAATTAAAAATTAACCTGTGGGTGAGTTATTGAATTTGAATTCCACCTGAGGTTGCCTTGGCAGGACCAGCCTAAATGATTTTGTGGCCTTTGTGTGACACGTGGCCCCAGCATTCCCTAGCCTTGATCTCATAGGTTCCATTAGTCCAACAAAGGCAGTCCTCCTTTAGAATTAAAAAGGAGGAGGGAAAAGGACATTGCAACCCTTCAGTTGTTTCCGGTGCTGCAGTGCTGCTAGTTAAACTATTTCTGTAGGAGAAATATGGTAATGATAGAGGTTTCTCCCAAGAATGGTCTTACTCATCCAGATCCCACAGTCTTCCTTTTGTTTCTCTCTTATGCTTTGTTGTTACAATGCATATTAATTCACTTCCATATACTTCAGTGCTCATTGTTCACAAAACAGTACCCCGTTCTTGCAGCTGGGGCTCTTACTTTTCCTGCATGGTGAACCTATTATAATACCCTACTTCACACTCTCAAAACCTTATGTTGGGCTCAGATCGTAACCTGGTGTTTCTTGTTTCCAACCAGATGTTTACTCCAGTGCTCATTTGTATCCTGTGTACACCATTTCTTGGTTTGTGGACTTGTCCCATTGGTTGTTCCCCAGGGTGGGTACAACTTGTGATAGCCCCAGATGTAATCTGCTTTCTGTAATAATGAAGCCTTTCCATATTGAGTACTCAATGTCTACTTCAAATTTTTAAAATATTTTAAAGTGTGCCATTTATTAGAATTCTCTGAATGTGATATACACTATCTTGATTGTAAAGAGGCAAGCCCTATCCAAAATTCATCGGAAACCATGAGTAGGCTTCAGTGTTGCAAGTCATTTGGAGCTGAACATGAAGATTCAGCATCATTCTAACAGGGCATTTGAGTTCAGCATTTGAGATTAAGAGAAATAAACAAATAGCTATTGGTTACACACCTGGGACTTCTTAGCTCAAGATCTTCTTCATTATATGAAGCTAACTCTCATTAATTTACCAAGGGATACTGCCTCAATTCTCAAGTGATTCTTGTGTTTAACTACAAGATTAAGAAAATATATATAGATCTTGAAAGTTTGAAGCATGATGGGGAAATTAGTGGTATTAGTAACATGAATATTAACTTGATATCAACTTCAATATTATCTAAAGTTCTATTAAGAATTTAATACATTTATGGTTTGCTTTGGCAGCACATAGACTAAAAAAAGAATGTAATATATTTGTTAAATGTTTTCATATGACTATTTAAATAAAAATTTTGTACCCCTTTTTATGATAGAGCTAATCGCCAGCTAATTCTGGATTATGAAGATGAACACAGATATAAAATGCTTGAAAAGAATAATCCAGGTAAGCCTTCTAGTGAATCACATCTGGTTTTCCTACCTTAGGTAAAAATCACAAAAGAGGAGGTGAAAATCAGTGACTAAATCCATGTGAATTTTCCTAGCCATTTTTGTTCTTTTTTCATATTTTTTTTTGACAGGCAGAGTGGACAGTGAGAGAGAGAGACAGAGAAAAAGGTCTTCCTTTTGCCGTTGGTTCACCCTCCAATGGCTGCCGCGGCCAGTGCATTGCGCTGATCCAAAGGCAGGAGCCAGGTGCTTATCTTGGTCTCCCATGGGGTGCAGGGCCCAAGCACTTGGGCCATCCTCCACTGCACTCCCGGGACACAGCAGAGAGCTGGCCTGGAAGAGGGGCAACCGGGACAGAATCCGGTGCCCTGACCGGGACTAGAACCTGGTGTGCCGGCGCCGCAAGGCGGAGGATTAGCCTATTGTGCCATGGCACCGGCCTTTTTTCATATTTTTAAAAATATTATTTAAGTCATACAGGTTTCATGTATTTCATGTATAGATTTAGGAACATAATGATAAATCCCACCCAACATTTCCCTCCTGCCCATGCTCCAACCCTTCTTCCTCCCCCTCTCCTATTCCTGTTCTCAATTATTACAGAGATCTATTTTGAATTTACTTAATGATGGTAAGGTTAACCCTTCACACACACACACACATGCACACACACACACACACACACCTCACATTGGAGTGTCTGGGTTTGATTTCCTCCTTCAGACCCTGACTTCAGCTTCTTAACATGGCAGACCATAAGAAGACTGGTGATGGCTCAGGTAACTGAACTTCTGTCACTCATGTCGAAGCCTGGATTGCACTTCTGGCTCCTGGTTTCAGCCCTGGCCCATCTCCAGCTCTTGTGGACATTTCAGGAGTGAACCATTAAATAAAAGGACTGTCTCTTTCCTTGTTGCTCTGTGTGTCTCTCTCTGCCTGGCAAATCAGTAACTAAATATTTTCAAAAATAAATTATTAAGCTATCGTAATCAAAGCAATATGGTAGAAAAGCGTATTGCAAAGGACACATAGACTAGAGGAACAAAACAGAAAGCTGAAAAATAAATTAAACATTTATGATCAACTAATATTTTAAAGATTTATTCATTTGAAAGGCACAATTGCATAGACAGTGGGAGAGGCAGAGAGGAGGAGAGATCTTTCATTCACTGGTTTACTCCCCAAATGGTCACAATGGAGCTTCTTCTGGGTCTCCCACATGGGTGTAGGGGCCCAAGGACTTGGGACATCTTCCTCTGCTTTCTCAGACATATTAGCAGTGAGCTGGATCAGAGGTGGAGCAGCAGGATTTAAACCTGCACCCATATGGGATGCCAGCATCACAAGCAGTGGCTTCTCCTGCTATTCCACAACACCAGTCCTGATAAATTAATTTTTGACAAGGGCATTAAGAAGACACAATGGGAAAATGACAGGGTTTTCAATAGACTGTGATTGTCAGACTGGATTTCCACAGGCTAAAGACTATATTGGACTCTTAGCTTACACTATTCACATACGCTGGGTGCTTTAGAACAAGAGACTTCTTGTTCCAGGACTCTTAACATCTAGCAACTTGAAAGAGAGCTGAGAGGAGGCCCATACTCCCTCTCAAGGTCTCTGACAAGCTTCTGGTGGCTTCTTGGCTTGTTATAGTATAGATTCAATCTTGCCATGACATTTTACTTAGAAACAGTGGATTCAGACTAGCCCTAATGATTCCATCTTTTAAAAAATATATTTATTTTATTCTAAAGGCAGAGTTAGAGAGACAGAGAGAGAATCTACCAACTGCTGGCCACAACAGCCAGGGCTGAGCCAGGTTGAAGCTGGGATCTTGGAACTCCAACTGAGTCTCTTATCTGGGTCTCTCATTTGGATGGCGGTGACCCAAGCATCTAGCTCCCAGGCCGTCAGCAGGGAGCTGGATCAGAAGTGGAGAGGCCAGAATATGCACCAGTGATCATATGGGATGCTGGCATTTCAGGTGTTGGCTTTAGCTGCTACACCACAATGTTGGCTCTAGATTCAATTTTTGAAAGTAAAATATGGACTCTGATCTCTGGGTTTTGAGCCAAGGGCAACTGCCTAGCCACAAGACCCCCATGTTCCCTGTGGCCTAGGCAGAAAGAAATGCTTCTGGCTCCACCCTCCAAAAGCAAAAGCCCTTTCTGGCTCAGTCATCCCTTCCAACCTGTGGCAGCCCAGGCAGTTTGTAGGGAGCCTCTGCAGAACTGGATCCTGGTCATCAGGGGCACCCCCTGCCCCAGAATGGATCTCCACATCCGGAGAGTTGGAAGGGTCCTTCTCTGACTCCATGTCATTAAACCATAGTATGGATATATAACATTTGGTCATCCACTCATCAGTGGATGGACATCTGGGTTGTTTCTACCTTCTTGCTATGGTGAACCATGCTGCTAGTAACACTCATGGGCAATGTTAAAAAATACCTGTTTCCATTCATTTTATTTCTATCAATTATTATTAGCAGACACTGGTCTTATTTATGTGATGGCTTTGACACTTAATCCTATCTTTATCATCAGTTATGAACTTAAACATCACTTTGGTAAGATGGCATTGATACCTACCAACTTAATGGGATTTGGAGTCCCATGGTAAGCTTTTAGCTTTACCCTTAGGGATAAGACCAAGGAACCACATGCTTACCTGTACATCTCTTCCCTCTCTTATTACCACTCTTATTTTTAACAGGGATCAATTTTAAATTGTATTTAAGCATCTAAGAATAATTCTGCATTAAGTAAAGAGTTCAACCAATGGTATTAAATAGACAAAGAAAATACTTAAAAGAATAAAACAGTAAGGGGCTGGTGCCATGGCGCACTAAGTTAATCCTCCACCTGCGGCGCCGGCATCCCATATGGGCTCCAGGTTCTAGTCCCGGCTGCCCCTCTTCCAGTCCAGCTCTATGCTCTGGCCCAGGAAAGTAGTGGAGGATGGCCCAAGTGCTTGGGCCCCTGCACTCACATGGGAAACCGGGAGGAAGCACCTGGCTCCTGGCTTCGGATTGGTGCAGCTCCGACCATGCGGCCACTTGGGGAGTGAACCAATGGAAGGAAGACCTTTCTCTCTCTCTTTCTCTCACTGTAACTCTGCCTGTAAAATAAATAAACAAAAAATCTAAAAAAAAGAAAAAGTCAACAGTTCCTCCACAGTCAGGACAAAGGCTATTCAAGTCATTGCTTCTCATAGTGTCAGTTTCATTTCTACAGGTTTCCTTTTAGGTGCTCAGTTGTCACATATCAGGGAGAACATACGATATTTGTCCCTTTGGGACTTGCTTATTTCACTCAGCATTGGTTGAAGGGCAGAGTGATAGAGACGGAGAGGGGAGAGAGATAGAAAGAGAGAGAGGAAAATATTTTCCATCCTCTCCCCAAATGGCTGCAATGGCCCAGTCTCATCCAAGCTGAATTCAGGAGCCAGGAACTCCATCCAGGTCTCCAACATGGGTGGTAGGGGCCCAAGTATTTCAACCATATTCCGCTGTCTTCCCAGGCATATTAGCAAGGAGCTAGATTGGAAAAAGAACATCCAGGACTTGACCAAATGCTCCAGTATTGGATGCTGGTGTAGCAGGTGGCAGCTTTAGTCCATTGCCTCACAATACTGGCCTCTCTAAAATTTATTTCTGTTATGATACATTTCAGTGTGTTTTAAGTGGATGGTTTAATTGCATTATGTACATCTCAATGCCATGCAAAACTCACCAGTGCCTAGTTACAGAACCTTCATAACAAGACTGTATCCTTTTAGCGGTCACTCTTCACTTCTCCTCTCTCGCTGGTCTCTGGAAGACCCTTATCCTTCTGTCTCTATGCATTTACCTCTCCTGGAGCTTATATGTCATTGCAGTCATAAAATAGCTATTTTGTGTCTGGCCCCATATCCCATGAGGGGACTGAATGATTGCTGTTTTTTGTTTTAAAAAGAGTAATGTTTCCTCTGACAAGGGTCACCCAGGGAGATCACAGATGATATATCAGATGAGGCCCCAGTAGAAAATAATGACATAATCCTTAGATAGAAGCCATTTTTTTAGAGCCAATGATAAAATAGTTTAAGTACTATAGATGGATCACACATTAACATTTGTTTGATACTACATATTTTTGCAGTTATAAAGGCACATTGACAAGAGGAATATCAGTAGAACGACCTGAGAAGTTGATGGATTTTATGGAGATACAGTGGCCTAATAAACTATGTGTTTGGTAATCATACATTTGTATGCAAACCAATTTTGTTATGTCTGAGTGATGAGAGGAACCCATAACTTAACCCTTGTGATTATTTCCTAATTACCAAATTGTTATGATAATATTTCCTTCATTATGCTGATCTGAGGACTAAGTAAGGTTTGTCAACTGACTAGCATGGAAGGTACCAATGAGCCATACCATGAAAACAAAGTTGTACTACCAACTCAATGTTTATGATGAAACCTAGGTTCTTTTTTTAAATTTATTTGAAAGAGTTACAGAGAGAGGTAGAGACAGAGAGAGGTCTTCCATCCTATGATTCACTCCCTAGATGGCCACAACGTCCAGAGCTGTGCTGATCCAAAGCCAGGAGCCAGGAGCTTCAACTGGGACTCTCACGTGGGTGCAGGGGCCCAAGGACTTGGGCCATCCTCTGCTATCCCAGGCCATAGCAGAGAGCTGGATTGGAAGAGGAGCAGCTGGGACTAGAACTGGTGCCCATATGGGATGATGGTGCTTCAGGCCAGGGTTTTAACCCACTGAGCCACAGTACTGGCCCCAAAACCTAAGTTCTGAAAACTGCTTACAAGGTAGACTTAAAAATGTGTTCTAATGCACATACTCAAAATGTATGTAATATTCTCTTGGTACTAGCGACAGTACCTTTTTGACTTTAATATATAGGCAAATCAAACTCAGAAAAAAATAACATTTTAACATTACTTTTCATTTGAATATTTAGACAATATCTGTAGAAAATAATTCATGTTTGATATGTAACACAGCTCTATTTTTTCAATACAATAGTATAAACATAACTACTCATGGGGCCGATGCTGTGGTGCAGCTGGTTAACGCTGTGGCCTGAAGCGCCAACAACCCATTTGGGTGCCAGTTCGAGACCCAGCTGCTCCACTTCTGATCCAGCGCTCTGCTATGGCCTGGGAGAGCAGTGGGGGATGTGCCAGTATTGATTACATTGTTGAGGCATACACTGAGACATTTGTGATGTCTCAGGGCTTATCAGTGAATTCTAAACAAAGTTCTGACCTGCTTGCACAATCATTTTTGAACCTGACTTCAGAACCTTGTTTACAACAAAAATGAGGGTAATGGTAATAGAAATTGCAGGGAAGTTCATTTTTGTTTGTTTTTTTGTTTTTTGTTTTTTTGTTTTTTGTTTTTGCTACTTACATTCATTCACCTTGATAGGTATGAAGGATCCCAGCTTCATATGGAGCACAAGTTCTTTTAGACAAGCAAAGGCACATGTTAATAAGCCACCTCAGGTAAAATTTATTCAGTTAGATTAAACTGGTCTGTGGGTAGTTCAGAATGCAGGCTTTCCAACCAGAACCATTGAGTACTCTCTCCTTTCTCAGGGTAAATTTCTGCCATGCTCATCTATGTACCAGACTGACAATAAGCGTCTGGAAAACTAATCACAGACACACTACATTTCCAGTTTTCAAATATCCAATCTTTCTGGGGCATGGTTGGTTCTCCTGGAGCTTATAATAATCTTCAGGTCAAAGCATTTGAGCCTTAAGATCACAAACTAGATGAATATCCAGAAAAAAGAGATAAAGCAGGCCGGCGCCACGGCTCACTAGGCTAATCCTCCACCTGCGGCGCCAGCACCCCGGGTTCTAGTCCTGGTCAGGGTGCCAGAATCTGTCCTGGTTGCTCCTCTTCCAGGCCAGCTCTCTGCTGTGTCCTGGGAGTGCAGTGGAGCATGGCCCAAGTGCTTGGGCCCTGCATCCGAATGGGAGACCAGGAGAAGCACCTGGCTCCTGGCTTCGGATCAGCGTAGTGCGCCAGCCACAGCGGCCATTAGGGGGTGAACCAACGGAAAAGGAAGACCTTTATCTCTGTTTCTCTCTCTCACTGTCCACAATGCCTGTCCAAAAAATAGTCATATAAGAAGTTTAAAACATAAGAATTATAAGCTGCCGATCATTTGTACGGACTGGTTGTGGTTTGCTTTTGTAACTTCTTTCCCAGGAAGCTGTACCATCACTAGGGTTGTGTGTTCACATATATCAGCATGTGGTTTAGAGGCTCCAAGAGGAAGCAAATAAATTCCTTCCCTGGTCATTTTCTAATACAGTTGGCAATCACTAGGTGTAGTTTATCATTTCCTCTTTGAGTGTGTAATGCCTAGAGTTGACCCTGGGGCAATTATTTGTATTTCTTGCAAGAGTTTGAAGGGTGTTGAGTGTTAGAGTTTCTAACCAGTTTCTTTTTTTTTTTTTTTTTACGATTTATTTATTTTGCCGGTGTTGCAGCTCACTTGGCTAATCCTCCGCCTGAGGCACCAGCACCCCAGATTCTGTCCCGGTTGCTCCTCTTCCAGTCCAGCTCTCTGCTGTGGCCCGGGAGGGCAGTGGAGGATGGCCCAAGTGTTTGGGCCCTGCACCTGCATGGGAGACTAGGAGGAAGCACCTGGCTGCTGGCTCTGGATGAGTGCAGCACACCGGCCGTAGAAGCCATTTGGGGGTGAACCAACAGAAGGAAGACCTCTCTCTCTGACCGTCTCTCTCTCTCTCTCTAACTCTGCCTGTCAAAAAAGAGAGATTTATTTATTTATGTGAAAGTCAGAGTTACACAGCGAGTGAAGAGGCAGTGAGAGAGGTCTTCCATCCGATGGTTTACTCCCCAATTGGCTGCAATGGCTGGAGCTGCGCAGATCCGAAGGCAGGAGCCAGGAGCCTCCTCTGGGTCTCCAACATGAGTGCAGGGGCCCAAGGACTTGGGCCATCTTCCACTGCTTTCCCAGGCCATAGGGAGCTGGATTGGAAGTGGAGCAGCTGAGTCTCAAACCGGCGCCCATGTGGGATGCTGGCATTTCAGGTCAGGGTGTTAAACCGTTGCGCTACATTGCCAGCCCCAACTAGACACTTTCTAGAAAAGTTTCAGGGTCTAGGTAGGTGGAGGGTAGGCCCTTCATAGTATCATTGGAGATCTATGAAAGTGGCTTACACTTCTGTGTGGGTAAACTTTCTAACTTCTGTTTCAGTCCACTTTATGTCCCTGATCATTTTTATTCTTTGGGTCTTTACTAATTACACTCTTCGTGGTGCGGAGAGGCCCAGTTCATAGGTCTGTGCCCATAGCTGGCTTAGGGCACAGGATAAGATTTTCTTTGCAAACAGATCCACTCGTACTGAATTAAAGAACACTGATGCGCAGGTATGTCTACCTTTAGAAGAGACAGATTTAGACTTGGATTTGGAGAAGCAGAAAGAAAATAGTTTTGAATCCCATCATTTTCAGTCACTGATAGAAATAAATAAAAGCCCTATTAATAAATGAAATCAACCAAAAAGTTCCAGTTTTTTAGATGAAATCTTTAGCGCCTGGCATACAGTGTTCCATTCCAGGCTCCTGGCTTCAGCCTGGACCAAGCCACAGCTGTTCATCTGGGGAATGAACCAGTGGATGGAAGATTCTCTCTCTCTCTCAAATCAATCAATTAATAAATCTTTTTTACAAAAGGAACATCTGTGTATGTTTTGGTGAGAGAGAGAGGGAGGAGACAACAAAGATTTTTTTAAAAGAATTGGCTTCTGCGATTTTGTGACTGATAAAAATGAAATTCAGTTGATTAGCTGGAAGCTCAGGCAAGTTCTGAAGTCCCAGTGTAAGGCTCCAAATCCAGAGGGTAAGTACACTATCTACAGGAAACTCACACAGGATTTCTGTTACACTTTGGAATGAGAACCTTGTAAACAAGGTTCTGTAGTCAGGTTCAGAAATGATTGTGCAAACAGGTCAGATTCACTCTTACTTGGGGAAACATTAGTTTTTCTCTTAATGCCTTTAACATATCCCTTACTTGAAATCAACTGATTGTAAATGTTACACATTCATATGATATAGAGAAACAATTGTATTTAAAACTACTGTCTTAGCTCTTGGAAGCTTCATGCTGAAGTGAAGGGTGATGCTAATAATTTATTTTCACATTGCCACACACAAAAAACAAGGAGAAAGAAAATAAAATTATGAACACCGAGTGAATCATCGTTTACTACACTATGCCAGAGAGACTGAATCAAGTGATTGAGCTGGTTTAGTCCGAACTGTCCTGATTAGCATTCTATTATGAAATAGAAATGTGGGCTCCTCGAGGAGTGTAAGCTAGATAGTCCTAAATGAATCAAAAGAAAACAAAACATTCCAGTAGTAGAAACCGTGGTAAATGCAAAAACAATTTATTTATTTTCCATCACATGAGAAGATGCAGTGCCTTTACTTTCTAATATATCCTTAGCTCTATGTGAGTTGGAAGGCAGCTTGGATTAATCAGAAGAGAGGGGTCCAATCACCAGAATTTAAGATGTCTCTCACATCATGATCCACATGCAGGAGCTGCTAGTGAAAGCTATGATGCAGTCCTCCATGTTAATATTCATCAGAAAATGGGTAATTAGGGTGGCGATCAAAACTAAAATGAGAAAGAATAATGTCTAATCAATTTGATGACTCCCTAGGAGAAGTGGTTTTTATGAAGTTTCTCATTTTCATAAACATGACTTTATAATGGAATTTTTAAAATAAGAAAGTATTCAGGTGTAACTGATATTATTTCTCATAACTATAACTTCAGAGCATGAAGAAATAATGAAGAACTTTTGTTGGTTTTAATTTGTCTCCACCAATAAAGTTTCGGTTTTGCCTCCATATGCTTCCTCTGGTTTTAAATCTCTTTTATAAAATGTCTGCATTTCTTGCATTGAAGTATCTGTATTTCATAGAATCAAAATCAAAATTTCTCTTGGGCTCCACTAATACTAGCATTTCTTGAGGCAAATGCTATGTTTGAATCCTGTACAAACATGCAGTGAAATGGAAAGGACAGATTTAAACGATAGATACATTTAAGTGACAGAGACCAGTGCATGATTGCATATAGAAGGGATGAGAATTTCCGATATGAATCACAGGGTTGAGGTGCCTTTAGGCTACTTGAGTAACAACTACAGCATATGTCCACTAGATGGCAATATATAAATCTCCCTACGTGGAAGATACATCAGTTGTTCTTCAGTGCCCATAACGTCATGTAAAGGTGCAGGTGAAGAAGTCCACATTGCCCCTGGACCCATTCACACTGCTCCTGTTTCAGATACCAAAGCTCTGGAGAGCATTTAGGAAGAAAATTCCACAGAGCTGTTTCATCTATCTGTCTTCCTAGTATTGAAATAACAAGTGTGCTACATTCTTCCTCAGGAAATATACTGAGACCACATATTAACCAGTGACTTACAAAGAGGTGGCATCATAGCGAAAATTTCTGTTCAGTCCATCAAGAGTTTTCATGTCCTCTGAAGTTAACTGAAATTCAAAAACCTAGGGCTAAAGTAAATTTTTATTATTACTTTTAGACTGCTTAATTGAAATCTTAGAAAATCACAAGAGGAAGGTAGAATAAAGTGCATTGATTATGAATTTTAGTTCATTTGTGTTATTTAATTAGAAATATATCCTTGGGTTATGAGGTTGCTGCTCATCTGAAAAGATTAATAAGAGAAATGACACAGGATTGGTGCTGTTGTGTAGTAGACTAAGCCTCCATCTACAGCACCAGCCTCCCATATAGGTGGTTTTTCATGCCCCAGTTACTCCTTTTCTGATCCCGCTCTGTATTCGTGGGCTGGAAAAACAGTGGAAGATGGCCCAAGTGCTTGTGCCCATGTGGAAGACTCCGATGAAGCTCCAGGCTCCTGCTTTCAGCCTGGCCAAGCGCAGGTCACTGTTGCCATCTGGGGAGTGAACCAGTGGATGGAAGATCTCTCTCTCTTCTCCCACTGTCTCTGTGTCTCTCTCTATAACTCTGACTTTCAGATAAATCTTAAAAAGTAAAGAATTATTTTAAGAAACTGTAAACTAAGCCAGCGCCGTGGCTCACTAAGCTAATCCTCTGCCTTGCGGCGCCAGCACACCGGGTTCTAGTCCTGGTCGGGGCGCTGGATTCTGTCCCGGTTACCCCTCTTCCAGGCCAGCTCTCTGCTGTGGTCAGGGAGTGCAGGGGAGGATGGCCTAAGTGCTTGGGCCCTGCACCCCACGGGAGACCAGGAGAAGCACCTGGCTCCTGCTATCGGATCAGCGTGGTGCACCGGCTGCAGCGCACTGGCCGCGGCGGCCATTCGAGGGTGAACCAACGGCAAAGGAAGACCTTTCTCTCTCTCTCTCTCACTGTCCACTCTGCCTGTCAAAAAAAAAGAAAAAAGAAAAAAAAAACTTTAAACTAATTTCCAGTTCTCATACAATATCTTGGAAAATGGATTCAAAATGATTATTCCTACAAGCTATTTTTGAGCCTTTGTACAGGCTCTGGTGTCATTGCTTGCCTTCTATTCATTTAACTTATGAAGGCAGAAGGGAAAAAAATGGCTGCAGTTTAAATAGAGGATTGACAGATTATGGATCTTATTGCTGTGTGAAACTAAATGGTGTGGGCCGGTGCCGCGGCTCAATAGGCTAATCCTCCACCTGCGGTGCTGGAACCCCGGGTTCTAGTCCCGGTCGGGGTGCCGGATTCTGTCCCAGTTGCTCCTCTTCCAGTCCAGCTCTCTGCTGTGGCCCGGGAGTGCAGTGGAGGATGGCCCAAGTCCTTGGGCCCTGCACCTCATGGGAGACCAGGAGAAGCACCTGGCTTCTGGCTTCGGATCAGCGTGGTGCGCCGGCTGCAGTGTACCGGCTGCAGTGTACCGGCTGCAGCGGCCGTTGAGGGGTGAACCAACGGAAAAGGAAGACCTTTCTCTCTCTCTCTCTCTCTCTCTCTCTCTCACTGTCCACTCTGCTTGTCAAATAAATAAAAACAACAAAAAAAGGAAATTACCTTTAAAAAAAAACAACAAAGAAGCTAAATGGTGGTCACTCCATTCCTATATGGGAATCTATCACCTATGCATTGGAATAGATACTAGCAAGAATCTTGGGGTTGAGTGTTCATACAAAAACAAGCCAACAGAGTAGAAGCTGACTTGGGTGGTCAAGGTTGTGGTGTTCCTTTGTCATCTTGAGGGACTCCTGTAGTCGCAGTTGTTCCATGTACAGGAAAGACCCCTCTTTGTATTGTAGTCTGATCAAATAGAAACCTAATATTTATCCCAACTCAGTCTGATTTCCAGCATGGCAGAAGAGATGAAACTCATCATTCAGCAGCACTCAGATTCCTTCCTGGAGGCATATTGTAATAGCAGTGATTTTGCCATTTATTTATAGAAGTCAAGAAATTCTTCCTCTTTCTAAATACAAAGCTACCTTAAAAATCTAATTGAAAATTGAATTAAGATAAACTTATTAAGGTGCAAAATATTTGAAATTCATGTAGTTTTCTCATAATGTGTCCTTCCATGAATATTTGTAGATATTTGTTTTGTATATGATTTTGTTTCTTTGTATAAAACTAAACATCTTTTAAGCATATTTAAAGATATTTATTTATTTATTTTAAATGGGTTGATGGGGGAAATATTCCATCTGCTGGTTTATTCCCAAATGCCCATAAAAACTACAGCTGGGTTAGACCAAAGCCAGAAGCTCAAATGTGCATCCGGGTCTCTCATGTGGGTGATAGAAGTCCAAGTGTCTGTCTACCTCAGAAAAGTGTGCAGGACTGCCATCAAGCAGCCATAGGACCAGTAGTCTTGTTTCTTGTAATTTCATTGTAAAGGAAAAACATTTTGAAACAGTTAAAAGTCAATGGGAAACTTTATTTAATTTAACCTTTTTTTCTTTAACAAATGCACTTTCCAATTTTTACCCAGTGTGGTACTGGCTGTCTTAGTAAATTTTTTGCTGCTAACAGAATGTCTGTGGCTGAATAATTAATTAAAACAAAAACCAGAGCTCTGTCTCTAACAGCTCTGGACACTGAGAATCCCAAAGTCAAGTGGCCCAAATCTTTCCATTTTGCTGCAACATTTTTTAGGAGAAGGAGGAAGGGCAACAAAACATGGAAGCCAGAACAAGGTAGTAAAAGTCACAGCCTCAAACATTTATATCATCATTACAACATTATCACCAACATTCATACATCATCAACATTGTATCAGCAACATTATTTTATATCACCAACAGTAATTTATTTATTTCGATGAAGCCTTTACAACTTAGACATCTACAGTTACACTTCACCTACCAACACTGTTGCATCAGATCTGGAGCAGTGGGATGCAGACAGAGTCCTCCCCAAGTTTCACAGCAAGTAGTCAAGTGTTTCTTTATATTTCCAGCAATCCTGGTCCCAGAACTACCAGAACTGGAGTGTAGTTTACCCACATCCACAGGTTGATCACAGATTTCCGTGGAGATTGCACTAGCAAATGCAAGCCTGGAACTGTGGGGTGCAGATAGGGCCTTCCCCAGTCCCCATTAGTGATCACAGGTGTCCTGGGACATACATCAAAGTCACAGACTCAGAGCTGTAGGATGCACTATGGTCCTTACCTAGGTCTTACAGTGCAAGTTAAGGTTATGCCTGCAATTCTGAATAGGCAAAGACCAGCTAAAACAGAGATGCAGGTAAGGCCCTCCAGTTCCCACCTGTGAGTAAGAGTAGCCCCAGGGATTGTAGTACCAATAATCACAGTATCAGGGATTCAGGACACAGGAGGACTGCCCTCATTTCCTAAGGACATGCAAGGTTGTTTCTGGTGCAAATTGAAGGGGATGCAGGTTACAAAGAAGAATTAACTTCGATGGTTGTTTCTGAAAGAAAAGGTTAAAAGAAACTCTGTCTCAAATTCAAGTCAAAGTAAAAGGAGAAGAGACACAGAATTCACTTTCGAAGGTTGTTGAAATAGTACCCTGAATTGTGAGGCTAGGTCTGTGTGAAGCATGTCTAGGACATTGAGATAGTGACTCAGATATGCCCTACCATGTCCCAGTAAACCAGTTGGGAGACCAGGACTATTGCAAGGCTTAAATCCCAAGACTAACCACAAAAATCTGAGCTCAAGGGAGATCATAGATGGTGATAATGTTCAGGAAATGCCAGCCAAGTAAAGTCAGAGATAGCAGAATCTAAATTTGTTTATGTCATTAGAAGGGATTGGTAGCAGCTTGGTTAGCAGTGGAAAAATAGCAAAGACTGAAGGACATGAGATGAAATAGGAAGCATTGAGTAAAAGCAGTTTGATATATAGTTTAGAGTACTGGGTATCTGTGAGGATATTCCATTCTCTTCAGACTGTTGAGTACAGATTTTCCTTCTTTTATTAGTAAGCACTTTGACAAGTTACAAAAGTAGTAAACTTTAATTTCAGAAGACTGAAAATCACAGATAGGAAATTTTGAAACCACCCATAGTTCAGAAATTATGATTTACATTTTTCTGTTTTTCACTACTTATGAAGTATATTAAATGAAATTACTGATTATAGCACATACTCTCTACTTTTCACTGAATACATCAAATGTCCATAGTCTTATATGTAAATTTTTTCTATTAATATGAAGTTCAAACATTCCATTTTAGTTGTTCAAAATATTCTGTCAATGCACTGAAGTTTACCCAACTATCAGAAATTTGTAATTTAAATTTTTCCAGTTTGTGCTCTTATGAATAAAGTTGAATAAGGTCAGAAAACAGACAAGCATTCTATATATAAAGTTACATAACAGATGAAAGATGGAATCAGTTTTAAGTTTCTGAGTTTTAAGTTTCTGGTTATGTATTACAAAATGATATATTGAACAGCCTTTTACTGCGAAGCATATAACACTGCATTATTAATATGTAAGATTGAGTGCTTAACAATACTAGAGAATTAATTCCAAATTTCTTTCCACATATGGAAAACTGCTTTAACCAAGTTCCATCCCGAGCACATGGTTAATCATTAGACAAACAGCGGAGCGACTTTCTGTTATTCACATATCTTGTGAAAGAGGAAAAAATAAACAGTGTGCTTGGCTGGAGGAGCTGCAGGCAATAGATACCAAACATCGCTGTGTGAAATTAAATGATGGTCACTTCATTCCTGTACTGGGCTTTGGAACCTATGCACCTGAAGAGGTAACCAAGTAGTACTTTTCTGATGAGGGTTAAAAAAAAAAGCAAAACTAGGATGAGTGGAAGGTGAAGTGGGTTTTCAAGTCTCCCAGTTCCTGTGTGACTCTGGGAGTTTTCACCAGGCTTGACCTATTCCACGCACAAGAGACAAGAAAGTTAGACTTCACTCTTGTGTCAGGATCTGATTAGTTATCTGCTGATGATTCTGGGATCTGATTTTCCCTCTTGTTCCTGGCTATTTCCATGTTTGGCATAAGAGATGAAACTTAGCAGTCAAGAACAGTGCCTGTCATTATCATGACCTCGGGGTTGATTGCAATAGGAGTGGGTCTTCTTTTAATTTCTGTGATTTAAAGAAAAATGGTAGAGATGCTTCACTGAAATGGAAGTCAGTAGAGTGGATTGTTCACTGAACTAGAAGTGATTTTGTACTCCAGTATCCTCCTAAGACCACTCAGTGATGTGACTTGGGAATAGTTAGCTAGACTTAGAAGTCCTACTTTGGAGTTAGATGGGAATACATATTTGAAGCACACTCTGAAGACATATAACAAGATGTGGTTACTCTGTGGTAATGTGGCAGGAAGAGGAGAGAAAGATGAACACCAGAAAAACTTCAGCCTTGGTAAAATTCAGCACACATTTTCACACAGAAACAGAAACCAGCTAATGTCAGCACAGGCCGTGGGACTCAGTCTCTGGTCCACAATGATTTCCCTGAAAAGTATGCTTCTCAACTTTAAATCTTGTCAAACAAATGGAAAAGAATTATTTATTATTATAAGTTTTATGATTTTGTGACTATCTTTAATTTTTATATAAGTGAAGTTGAATATATGTGCATTTTATTACTGTTTATAGTCCTTGTTTATTTTTCCTGCTGGGCTTTTTATTTGTTGAAGTCTGTTTAGTAGTGCCATTAAGCCTGTGATGATTATGTAAATTTAAAAAAGTTACCTCAAAAATAATAAAAAGTAGATAAGTTAAAAATTCTTTGAATAAGTGAAAAATAATTTGATTTATCTTGTTTTTCTTAAAAATCATTTTCAAAACTTTATTGCTTTTAAAAAGCCAATGATTTCATATTTCAGTCTATTTATCAAATTCCCTAAAAGAAGTGACATTGGTATTAAGAACTGACAGTTATTTAATAATTAATCCTTATCATGTGGTTAGTTTCTGAATTGTAAATTTATGTCCTTTGAGGACATATTTTTACTGTTGTCTTTAGTTCTGTCATGCACATATAATAATCGGGGAGAAACAGAATAGACTGCTATCAGTTGAAATTCCTAGTTCCAAACTGGTCCCTGGCTGACATCCAGGAACCCGAATTTCTCACCTTTCCCTAACTGAGAAGGATGGAAGATGTACTAGAATGGGTTTTCCAAGCAGTGAAGTTTAAGTAAACCAAGTAAACCTGTTTAATTTGGGAGACTGAAAGTTTGCTATGTGCTAGTAGAAGGAGGGTAGGCACCCAATTCTCAGTGCAGATCTGAGGAACTGAGCTTCAGTAGCTTTCCTGACAAACATTTCCCATGTGTTGGCCTAACTCAGTGGTGGGGGAATTTATTGTGCTCTGCATGACTTCACTGGGAGAAAATTCATTGAAACTCAGAGAGTACTTAATCCCATGTACATTTTACCTGTATTAATTCTACTTTGTACCCTCACAGTATCAAGAATTTTGATAATAGCTATATAGTGCGGTATAAGCACACAGCTTCTAGTGAAAATCTTAGAAATTGCATCTAACTTCTTTGCATATTATATTTCTCATCTATTGACAAAGTTCAATGCCCAGGGAAAGGTCCCAAAATACAGTTAAGATGAGTAAGTTATAAGTTCTAATGCAGAAGGAGTAAATTCTCATATTCTACAGCATAGTAGAGTGGCCATAAATCACTGCTTATTGTATATATTACAAATAACCAGAAATATAAAGAAATGATGAATAAGGAGACATTAATGGTAATTTTCTTAATTGTAATATTACATCTTAAAATGTAATGAATTATAATACGCTACTCCAAGTATATGTTCATTCTTTCCCCCATAAATGTATTTAATTGTTTTATGTCAGTCTATACTTGATCTTAGCCAAAAGATCGAGAAGCAATTATATGTCAGTCCAAAAAAGAAAACATGAAAAAAATACTTTATTATGGAGTTCATGGTTTGGAAGACAGTTAACTGTAATAATAAGACTCCACAACACATCATTTAATCAACAAAGGTTTTTCTTTTCAACAGGTATTTGTAAGTTCTTTATTAAACTTTTAATTCTCATCCCTTCCTCTAAAAATATCAATGCTGGATGAATTTAGACTTTTCTGTGTGATTTTCTGAGAGGACTGAATATTGCTTGCACTGTTTCTTTTATGCTTCATTCCATGCATATTTTCCCTATTTGAACCTAACTTTTTGACCTTACTGCATGAAACTATGGTTGTAACTCTGGATATTAGCTGTGAGTCTTTCCAGCTGATCACTGAACCTGGATGATGTTCCTAGTGACTTAGGATATTTGTGATTGCTGGGACTGACGTGTACCTGGGATGCCCAACTTTATTATTTCAAAAAGGAAAGAACCAGGGCAAACTGGGATGAATTCATGACTCCAACTGCAGAACTAACCCAAAACAAAAGGAACAGTTGATTCTTGTCAAGGTCATTGCTTTTACCTGAACTAGCTCTTGTCACGTGAATTTCCAAATGCTACTTTTTGTTGCTCCTCTAGGTTCCTAAAAGTGAGGCTTTGAAGGCCACCAAATTAGCTATAGATGCCGGGTTTTGCCATATTGACTCTGCCTATTTGTACAAAAATGAAGAGGAGGTAGGACTGAGCATCACAAGTAAGATTGCAGATGGTGTTGTGAAGAGACAAGACATATTTTGCACTTCAGAGGTACTGTCTTATGGTGCACAGGTGTACAAAGTAATGCAATGTTATGAGTGGAACTGACAATTATATGATTGGATTAATAGTTGTTGGTGTATTGTGTTTAGTGCTACAAATTTTATTCAGATACATTTGCATATAACATTTATTTCTTCAAATGTATGTTTTATATTCAAATCTATATTTTAAGTAAAGCCCCTTTACCTTTCTGAGTCTCTCTCAAAGCACTGTGATGTAGCATGGCTGTGGAGACAGACAGAACTATCATCAGGTTACGGTTTTCCTCATTTCCTCAGTGACTTTAAACTTTCACGTTATTTTCATTATCGGTCGTCACCGCTATCAACATGACAGAACAATGTAAGAGTTCTCATTAGGCATTAAATATATATAAACAAGGCCAGCGCCTTGGCTCAATAGGCTAATCCTCCACCTTGCGGCGCCGGCACACCAGGTTCTAGTCCCGGTCGGGGCACCAGATTCTGTCCCGGTTGCCCCTCTTCCAGGCCAGCTCTCTGCTGTGGCCAGGGAGTGCAGTGGAGGATGGCCCAAGTACTTGGGCCCTGCACCCCATGGGAGACCAGGAAAAGCACCTGGCTCCTGCCTTCAGATCAGCATGGTGCGCCAGCCGCAGCGCGCCAGCTGTGGCGGCCATTGGAGGGTGAACCAATGGCAAAAGGAAGACCTTTCTCTCTGTCTCTTTCTCTCTCTGTCCACTCTGCCTGTTAAAAAATATATATATATATAAACAGATTTAATATGTGCAACACATATTAAAATTTTCAAAATATTTCCCTTCAGTTTTGCCAGTAAAAGGGATACTAATTCTTCCCTATGGAATTAAGCAGATGTCAGAATTAGATCATTAAATTTTATAAAAACTCTGCTATTACTTGATAACATTTTTATCTCTGGTGCCATGATTCACTAGATTAACAACAACCAAACATATATACAGGATATATAGATATAAGATCACAGGAAACCCCCAAAATGGAAGGAAGTGCTTTTTCCTTGTATTCGTCAGTTTCTAACCAGTATAAAAATATACCAACAAATTTGGTTAATGTATTCATCCAACACAATATTCATTTAACTTATTCAGCTTTGGTCCACTTTCCATAGACCTAAGCTGGTTTGACCAAGCTTGGAAGAGTCACTGAAAAAACTTCAACTGGGGCCGGCACCGCGGCTCACTAGGCTAATCCTCCGCCTTGCGGCGCCGGCACACCGGGTTCTAGTCCCGGTCGGGGCGCCGGATTCTGTCCCGGTTGCCCCTCTTCCAGGCCAGCTCTCTGCTGTGTCCCAGGAGTGCAGTGGAGGATGGCCCAAGTGATTGGGCCCTGCACCTCATGGGAGACCAGGAAAAGCACCTGGCTCCTGCCATCGGATCAGCGCGGTGCGCCAGCCGCAGCGCGACAGCCGTGGCGGCCAATGGAGGGTGAACCAACGACAAAGGAAGACCTTTCTCTCTGTCTCTCTCTCTCACTGTCCACTCTGCCTGTCCAAAAAAAAAAAAAAAAAAACTTCAACTGGACTATGTTGACCTCTATATTATTCATTGCCCAGTGTCTCTGAAGGTAGGTGATTTGTATCATAAAGCTTATTTCATTTCAGCTACCAATATAACCACAATTTTTATGAACTGTTGAATGACACATGTATATAATTTATATAAATTCAATCTGTGTACTATATAGAAACTGAAGTTAGCTATGCCTAAGAATTTATTGGATTATGTAACTGGGGAGTCCAGGCCACAAATAGATGTACATATTTTAAGTAGTCTTAAGACGTGTGTATTGATATTGATCTTGCATCTCTGTATCACTGAAGGTTACTTGATTTTTGTTGAACTTTCTCCCATTGGTGTAAAATATGGTCTTGGAGCAATTCAAGGATCATGGTAATTAACATTTGATAGAGACTCTGCCTCTTCCATTATTAAAATCAATTTTGAAAAGAACCTTATATACAGGTAACATGACTTCACTCAGAACAAACAGTATTGGGGTAGATAGAGAAAACCGGTTAGCTTGGGTCAAGGCTGCAATCTATCACTGCTACAGTCAAAGGCTATGTAACTATTGTTTTTCCAAGTAAAAGAGTGGCATTTCTTCAGAGAAAAATATAGGGGAAGGAAAAGTAATAATGGATGTGGGGAAAGTGTATCTACTAATACATATAATAGGTGTAAAAGAATAGAGAAATTCCATATAGTTGCACATGCAATCCTTTTAAAACACACACACACATACACACACACACTCTGCTTCCTGGAGGTTTGCTGCCTGAGTATAGGAGCATTGCCCTGGGTGGAGATTTGTGTTGGTTGACATCATTGTGATGACTGCTTCTGTTACAGCCAGGGGGAGAACTTATTCCTAAAGATGACCATGGAAAAGTACTGTTTGACACAGTGGATCTATGTGCCACGTGGGAGGTGAGTGTGTGGAGGGGAGAGTAAGGAGAAGCCTGGAGAGGGGGTTCTATCACACTTTCACCTGGGAGAATGGCATATGCACCCACTCATGGAGGTAGAAATTCATGGCTTTTACAAGGAAAATCATCCTGAGAGATGGGGAAGAACCAGAGCCTGCTACCTTCACTGGGATTTCTGCATTCATACTGGCTCAGACATCTATGCAAGTGATTCTTCACAATGTTTTTCTCCACAGGCAACGGAGGAGTGTAAGGATTCAGGATTGACCAAGTCCATTGAGGTTTCCAACTTCAACCGCAGGCAGATGGAGATGATTCTGAATAAGCCAGGGCTTAAGTACAAGCCAGTTTGTAATCAGGTCAGCACCCTATACTTCCTTTCCTGTTCTTCCTTCCTTTCTTCCTATGTACTACTCCCAGTATCCATTGATCCTCTGCTCCTCTTGATCTTATATTTGAGGAATGGAAGATCTACAAGCATAGCTATTTTGTCTTGGAAAGTGTGGAAGACCCACTATTGTGTTTCTTCTTAGGAAAGTCTTAGTGGGAAGGTGTAAAGACCTTAATTCCTAATTTTGTAATAATTTAGGGAGGTAAAGACAATGAAGGAGGCAGTACTTGGTAATCAGACGTCAGAGGGAAGGTGGATCAATCCCTGAGCTATGAAAAATGAACAGAGATCAGATGGGTGAAGGTTATGTGGAGGGAACTGTGTCCAGGAAAGAAGGCCATAAAGCATGAGATGAGCAGTAAGTGGAGTGAAAATAAGAAAAGACTAGTATTTCTGATTTCTTGTGTTTTATACAGAGGTACAAATGGAGAAAAGTTAACTAGAAGTTATGAAAGTCATACACATTAGAGGTAGGGAGTTATCTGCTTACAGAGATACTAGTGATGGATGAAATCAGCACTCAAGAGCTTGTAGTAAGACATAGACCTGACCCTGTTCCTAAATACATCAGAGTCTGCATCTCCTCCCTAGCTTCTGCCACCAAATCAACTGTTTAAACACATCCATTCTGTATCTGGTTCTGTGCTCTAACTTAGGTTATAGAAGCAAGGGTCCTCAATTGGAAAATGCAACTTACAAAATTCCTGAATTTGGTATACAATGATAAAACATCATGATTCTCAAATATAAATATTAGAAATTATCATTATTCTGGACATAATTTTCTCATAATTTTATTGTTAAAATCCTCAAGTTTTAAAATATTTGAAACAGTGATATAAAACATATGTATTTTGTATTGTACATCCAAAACTTTTGACATTTGCCACATTGTGAAGTACATAAGATTCATACACATGTATCATACATGTATGTATATGTGTTTGTGTGTGTGTGTTTGTGTGTGCTGGGTATATCTGTACAAATATGTGCAACATTTTAAAAAAATCTCTTCAAAGAAAATTGTGGACATGACAGTTCATCTCTACAGCTCAGAAACCAGGTCATTAGAATAAATACATTCTCCCACACAGTAACACCTTCTGTTATGACACGTAGGGAAATTAACAATCATTGCCTCACATCCTCTAATACCCAGTCTATCATCTCGTTTGTAGTCCAATTCCCAACAATTTTTTCTGAAGTGTCTTTTCTAGGTCTTCTCTGGTTCTCACATTGCTTTAGTCCTATTCCTTAAGTTTTTTTTCCCCAAGAGAATGATCATCCAACCCTTTTCAGCATGATACTAAGCCAGGTTTTTGTCAAATATTTTAGGGTTGCTGTCTTGTGGTATTGATAAACTTGTTTCTATATTCCAGTTTTCTATAAATCAGAAGGTACATATGAAAACTTTATTAAAACTAAATATTTTGGTAAGAAAATATTCTTAGAATGGTTTAATCCTCACATTATGTCAGTAGGAAGCACATAGTGACAGGTTGTCCCACTGTTGGTGACAGCAGTATTCTTCACTTGGCTGAGTTAATGGTAGCCAAATCTCTTTTTTTATAAATATGTTTCTTTTTGACAATTATTGGTAATCTATTGGATGACTAATGTCCTAGAAGAAATAGTATCCCCAACTAAGTTTTATGTAATAATTGAATATTCATCAATGATTTTTGCCTGCTGCTACTCTTTCATTGAAGTATGTAAGTAATTATTTTCACTTTTAATCATTCTTATTTTTCTCAAATGATATTTTGCCCTAAAAGGCCCTCATCAAATCACAATTAATTATTTCTATAAGACATATTAAACTCTTAATTTGTTCCCTGCAACAATCAATGTCACATAAAACAATTACTATAATAATCAGCAAACATTAGGGCAAGCAGTTTTATTTTTTTAAGATTTACTTATTTATTTGAAAGGGAGAGTTACAGAGAGGCAGAGGCAGAAGGAAAGAGATGTCTTCCATCACTCCCCAAGTGGCTGTAACAGATGGAACTGTGCTGATCCAAAGCCAGGGGATTCTTCTGGGTCTCCCACGTGGGTGCAAGGGACCAAGGACTTGGGCCATCTTCTACTGCTTTCCCAGGCCATATCAGAGAGCTAGCTGGATGGGAAGTGGATCAGCTGGGATTTGAACCAGTACTCATATAGGATGCCAGCACCACAGGCAGCAGCTTTATGTACTACGCCACAGTGCCGGTCCCAGGGAAAACAGTTTTGATTTCTTTGAGTGTTTCTCCATTTTCATGATAGTTTTATGGATTTCCATTTATTCTGTCATATGATTCATTTTACTCATTGTTTTCAATGTGAAATCCATTGGGTGTACTCAATGAGATACCTACCAAATTGACAGTGTTGTCCATTAGTCTTATCTTCAGGATTCTTAGAGCAAATTTTGGCTTTCTGCACAATTTGATAATCAACGTGCTACAATTCTATCCCTTTTGCCCAATCTGCAAGTCACAATGTGCCCTTGTAGTGAACAAAGATGTAAGTATCAAGAAGTGGTTTGTAGGGTTGCTTATTCTCAATGACATCTTTTTAAAAAAATTTTTAACCAGGGCAAGCACTGTGGTGTAATAGGCTAAGCCTCTACCTGCGGTGCTGTCTTCCCATATGGGTCAAGATTTGTGTCCCAATTACTCCACTTCTGATCCAGCTCTCTGATAATGGCCTGGGAAGGCAGTGGAAGATGGCTCAAGTTCTTGGGCCCTTGCACCTATGAGGAAGACCCAGAATAAGCTTTTGGCTCCTGGCTTCAAATAGGCCCAACTCTGGCCCTTGTGGCCATTTAAGAAGTGAACCAGCAGATAGAACACCTCTCTCTGTAATTATGCCTCTCAAATAAATAAATAAAATATTTTTTAAAATTTAACCCATTCAGGGCCGGCATCACGGCTCACTAGGCTAATCCTCTGCCTTGCGGCGCCAGCACCCTGGGTTCTAGTCCCAGTTGGGGCGCCAGATTCTGTCCCAGTTGTCCCTCTTCCAGGCCAGCTCTGTGCTGTGGCCAGGGAGTGCAGTGGAGGATGGCCCAAGTACTTGGGCCCTGCACCCCATGGGAGACCAGGATAAGTACCTGGCTCCTGCCATCAGATCAGCGTGGTGTGCCGGCCGCAGTGGCCATTGGAGGGTGAACCCACGGCAAAGGAAGACTTTTCTGTCTTTCTCTCTCACTGTCCACTCTGCCTGTCAAAAAAAAAAAAAAAAAAAAAAAAAAAAAAAAAAAGCAAGTCACTGAGACACCAGACATGCAAAGCGGTAATGTTTATGTGCTCACTCCATAACTTTTAGTAAAACTTGTAGAAAAGTACTAACAGTGCCATTGCTCTTATGAATGAAGCGGTTTTGAGTAATAAGACTTCCCCCCAATTTATGACTACTCCCTTTGAATTTGATACAGGTGCTTTATATCCATCTTGTAACTTAATAATTTCTTGCAATGATTATAGATTTTAAAAATGTATTAAACACTTGAAAGTTACCGAAACCCTGTGTCATATTTGAATACACTGCATTTAACAAAGAGCATAGTCTATTGCACATAGTTTAAATCTATTCAGGAAATGCTGTCAAACTAAACAGTTGTTCCAACCTTTAATTCACTTCCATTTAGTTATTTTCAGTTTATTAAATATATATGGAGAGCTTCTGATATGCTCAGGAGTACATTAGTTGTTCACTGGAGCAAAGGTAGGTGGAGAAAATGTGGAGCTTTTGCCCCAGTCCTTTCTATTCTGGCAAGAAAGAACAGTCTGAAAGCTTTAGCAAGTAAGTACTTCATAAAGCTTTAAACTTCATAGAGACATCTTCTACATGGAAAGGTTTTCATTAGCAAAGGCAATCTTAAAACCCAGGCATTTGGTGAAGAATTTGACAGTGCTTGGGACACCTTCATCCCATATTGGGATGCCCAGGTTTGAATTCAACTCTACACTAATCACAACTTTCTGCTACTGTGCACCCTGGAAGGTATGGGGATCCATGCTATCCACCACAAATAGGGGACCTGCCTTGAATTCCAGCTCCTAGCTTTGGCTTGGGTCAGTGCTGGCTGCTGTGGATATTTCCAGAATGGACCAGTGAAGGGGAAAGTCTTCTCTATGTACTTATCTTATTCTATTTTTTCTCTACCTAACTTCTTTTCAAATAAAATACCTTTAAAGAAAAAGTACCCTTGGTACTGTACAACTTTCAAAGGCCTCACATGTCATTCAAGCCTAATTAACAAGATGGATATATAGCACCTGTATCAAACTCACAGGGAACACTGACTTGACCAAAACTCATTCATTGATAACAACATAGTGCTGTTAGTACCTTTCTTTAAGTTTTACTTTTAAGTGAAATTTAGGTGTTACTGAACTTGATTTTCAACCTCCCAAGTTTTCCAAGCCTGCACAGTATGTGCCACGTCTTCAGAATCTCTTAATAAACTGGCAGTTCCCCCAGTTAGAGCCACGATTACTCCCTTTCCCCTAATCCTGGACCTGTGCCCTGGTTGTTCAATCTTTTTTGCTTCCAGTGTCCATGGACCACATGCCACACAGTCATGTCAACTTTTCTCTCTACCATGGGTACACCCGAGGCTTTTTAACCTCCATAATGTCCCCAAATCAACAGAGATTTTTCTTTAATTCACATTCATGATCTTGTTTTTCTTCTCTATTAGCCCCTTAAAGATACCCTATGCTACCTTCCAATATCACTGGACATTTGCTTCCTTTAAGAATTACATGGATTTCTTCTACGGCCCTATTGGCCCTATTGATTATTCCTGAGAAAAGATGACTGACTTCTATTTATAGACAATATCATTGCTAAGCAGAGAGTTAAAGATTCTATTTTTTGTATCTCCAAATTTATTTTACATTTTGTAGCAGCCCCTGGGTCATTGTTCTCAGGAATAGTGTGGTGACTGGCAGATTTTAAATGTCAATGGAAAGTTCATCAGAATGCTCTCTTTTATTCAAGCCCTGAATTAGGACATGATTGAGTTGATTTCAAGTCTCTATTTCTTCTTAGACTTCAATCAAAACTGGGGCAGGAATGTGCACTATGCCTAGAGAAAGATGACCGGAGGGAAAAGAAACCTTTCAGCATTTTAATTTAAGCACTTGGTAATACGAATTCATGGCTCTCCGCACCTTCAGACCCTCTCAGCTGTTCTTGAATAAGGGATAGAGCAGTGCTGGATTTCAGGACAGACCTTTATATCCAGCTGGCTACTAATGGGGCTGACAAGTCAACTTAAATATAAAGATGCTTGTCTAAAATCCAAGAGGTTACAGTATAGCCAATGAAGCAAGATGATTAGAACATAGAGATACCCTTAACGATTATTGTTAATGGCTTGGGAAAAGTCAAAACAAAACAAAATGATTGCCTAAGGAACATCATTGAGATTACTTTAACAGGGAGGCTGGCCCTAAAGAAAAAGTCATGAGGAGAAGAGTTTGAATTTTGTTTCAAATAATCCATATAGATGTGGAACTTTTTAATAAAAAGTGAAATCAATATTACACTTAAAGAGTTTGGCTGTTACATATTTATTTCTTAATCATATGTTGGGGCATACTATAACCATCAAAATGTGATCATAGAAATATTGACCTTGGAGCAGGTATTTAACCTAGTGGTTAAGACGCTCATATCACATGTCAGAGTGCTTCAGTTCGATTTGCAGCTCAGGCTCCTGACTCCAGCTTCCTGACATGCAGACCCGGGGAGGCAGCAGTGATGATTTAATTAATTAATATAAAAGACAAGAATAGGAAATACAGGCAAGTATTTAGAAAAAGAGTAACACTTACACACTGTTGGTGGGAATGTAAATTAGTACAGGGAATAATGAAAATAGAAGATTCCTCAAAAATCTAGAAATATACTTTTGATATAATCTAGCAATCACAGTTCTGGGTAGAAATCCAAAGGAAAGGAAATCAGTATATTGGAGAGATACCTCCACTCCCATGATTTTTTATTTCACCACTCCTGGTAGCTAATATACAGAATCAACCAGGTACCCATCAACAGATAAACGGATAAAGGAAATGTGTATATACAATGATAGCTCTATGCTCTCCAGGACAATTACAAATTTTTAATTACTTTACAGAAAAAAAAAACACATTCATTCAAAAGTCACTTGCTGAGTACCAATTATGTCTAATATCTATTTTAGGGATTGTGTTTCATTAGTGAAGAAAGCATAACAGTGGAGAAAACAAAATTTATTCTTGTGTTAAACTTACCTTTTGGAAGGGAGAGCTAATAACTAAAATATACAACAAAGCAGGAAGAGACACATATGCAGACTGTTGAAAATGTGAGACTGTTGAAAATATGAGGTGGGGTAACAGTATCAGGAAAACCAACCCCATGGGTTCGAGTGGCTGCAATGCAATTTAAAATAAAGTGACCAGGGGCAGGTGTTCAGCATACTGGTTAAAGATACCACTTAAGATGCCCATGTCCCACACTGAAATGCCTTGGTTCAGTTCCCAGTTCTGGCTCATGATTCCAGCTACCAACCGATGTAGACACAAGGAAGAAGTAACTGATGGTTCAAGTAGCTGGATCCCTGCCACGCACATAGATGTCCTAGACTGAGTACCAGACTGCTGGCTCTATCCTGGCCCAGCCCCTAATGTTATGAAAATTTGGGGAATAAACCAGTGGATGGAATATTTGTTTCTCTCTCTCTGCCTCTCAAATAACCAAATAATAATTTTAAAATTAACAATAGAATAAAGTAAAATCATGTGACTGGAGTCTGAGCTCATTGAGAAAGAGACAATGGCATAAACACGTGAGGAGGTGAGAGTTATCAAGGCAGTGATCAGGAAGTGCAGACGTTATGCCAAAAAGTAAAGAACAAGATAGGGGAAATGGTGAGGGCCATGGGTGCAGGCCATTTCAAGAATGTGACTTTTACTTCAGGAGAACTGAGAAGCTACTGCCAGGTTTGGATCTAACAAGCGTCATATCTGACTTACTGTTTCAAAGGGTCACTCTGGCCACTATGTGAAACAATGGTAGAACATGAAGAGTGATAGGGCTATAACCATACTAATCCAGCTGAGAGATGATACTGGCCTACTGACTGTGCCCAAGGTGACAACAGCAGAAGGGACAAAATGGTCACAATTACTTTCTGAACTTTTGAATGTACTTCAAACAGTTTGTTGAAAAATGGAATTAATAGTATGAAGCTTATTTTCATATAAGAATAATTTTGAAATACAAGCATAGGTTTTTCATAATATACATTCTCCACCAATTATGAAAAAATTACCAAAAATTACCTTGCACCAAAATTAACTCGTGCTTTTAATTCCATTTTTCCACAAACTTTTTGAAGCTCCTTCATATTCCAATAGTATTTTCTGATGGGCTGGACTTGTTTATGCCAAAAATAAAGTCAAACATTCCTTGATGGGATTTGGAGGAGTTAACTGTTAAGAGCTGAACTGAAATACAGACAGCAGAGGCATCCTTCGTCATAAAAGTCAATTATAACATCAGGCAAATGAAAGGAACAATCGTCTTTTCTCAGAGCAAAAGCATAGAAGGAGGCTAAACAGGGGAAAGTGCTGTTTGCCCAAGGTTTCTTCCTCCTTCCATTGAGTCATTCCAGGCAAGGGTCCTGTGGATCAGTCCAGACTTGATGATCATCTCATTGCAGAGGGAGACTGGAACAAAAGCTGTGAATCCAAGAGCTCAGGGAAGGAAAGTGGGTAGGGCTCAGGGTGGAAAGGAACTGAACATTGAGTCAGAGTGGAGCAAATATTTCCCACATTTTCAGTAATAAGGCCTTTGCAGAGTATCTGGCAGTCTTGGGAGGGTAGTGGCAGCCAGGGGCAGAGGCGGGGTATGTGTGGTTGGGTAGTGGGGAGACAGGATTGATGCACACATAAGAGGTCTCTAAATGAAGCTACTGGGCTAAGAATGCAGATATGAGCAAGAGCATGGGTGTCTAGAAGGCCTGAGACCTTGACTGCAGCTTCGTGCATGAAGTGCTGTGCACTGGCTGGAGTGAGGAAGGCAGCTTTTCCCGTGAGCCCTTCCCAACTGCTTTGCCATATATAAGCCACTTGTTTGTAACGCAAGATGCACTCTCTGCTGTGAGTTCATCAGGAGTGAGCCCTCCACAGGCTTATTTGGATTCATATTCTGTCTTGCCTTTGTCTTGCTCGCCTGTTCTTATAGTAGGGGGTTTAAATTTCCCAAAGGAAATACATAGTTCTCTTTAGTCTTGTGTCGAAAGATATGTTACTTGGCAAAATTCACCAGATGTGGGACTAACACTGTGGCATAGTATGTTAACCTCTGCCTGTGGTGCTGGCATCCCCTATGAGTGCTGGTTCCAATCCTGGCTGCTTCACTTCTGATCCAGCTCCCTACTAATGGCCTGGGAAAGCAGTGAAAGATGGCCCAAGTGTTTGGGCCCCTGTGTCCCTGTGGGAGACCCCAAAGAAGCTCCTGGCTCCTGGCTTCCATCAGGCCTGCTCCTGTGTTGCAGTCACTTGAGGAGTGAGTGAAACAGAGGATGGAAGACCTCACAGTCTCTCTCCTTGTAACTCTCTCACTCAAATAAGCAAATAAATCTTTTTTTAAAAAATTCACCAGTACTGTACTGGTTCCCTACAGGCTCGGACTTCGACGTGACACTTGGGTCATTTTCTGCTGCTGTTTTCCCCAGGCCATTAGCAAGGAGTTGGAGCTGAAGTGGAGCAGCTGGGAATGGGACCAGTACCAATACCACATGGAACGTGGGTGTTGCAGATGGTGGTGTCACTTCTATGCCACAACCTGGCCTCGTTTTTAATTCTTACACTAGATAAGTTGGCTTGATTTTTATGGATTCATATACTATTAATGCATTCACAACTGCTACTAATTGACTTTTCATTCTTTTCCTACTTGGGAGGTTTACTATACAGGATTTGTTATTGTGTATCAGAAATATTAAATTTTTAGGGCAAATAAACACATAGTGTCATTTTGTCATACAATTGCTTTTACTTTATGTTTTACGTGGGAGATTTACTATACAGACTTTGTTTATAAATTGTATTAAATACTATACACTATTAAATTTGTGGGACAAATGCATAGCATTGTTTTATAATAAAATCACTTTCAATTCATGTTTTGTATTTTAATTTTACTAGTTACAACTTGTGACCTCAATGGGCAGTTAATATTCACACTGTTGTGGAGGGAGTTTGAGGCAGAGATTAAGGTACCACGTGGGATATCTTCACACCGCATTGCAGTGCTTGGGTATAAGTCTCTTCTGTGCACTCGATTCCAGCTGCCTGCTGCTGTGCAGGGAGCAGCAGATGATCCCTCAAGTAGTTGCATCCCTGCCATCTACATGGAAGACTCAGATTGAAGTCTCAACTCCGGGCATTGGCCTGGTCCAGCCTCAATTACTGTGGACACTGGAAAGGGCACCAGCACATGGGAGATCTCTCTCTCTCTCTCTGTCTCTGTTTCTCTGCCTATCAAATAAATAAGAAATTTAAAAATTTTACATTGGGAGCTGGTATTATGGTGTGGTGGGGTTAAGCTGCTGCTTGAGATGCCAGCATCCCATATTGGAGTGGTGGATCCAGTCCCTGCTGCTCTGCTTCTGATCCATTTCCCTGCTAATGAACCTGGGAAAGCAGTGGAAGATGGTCCAAGTACTCAGTCTTCTGCCACCCATATGAGACCCAGATGGAGTTCCTGGCTCCTGGCTTTAGCCCAGCCCACCCCTGGCTGATGTGGCCAATTGAAGATTTACCAGGGGATGAAGATCAATCAGTCAACCTCTTTGTCTCTCTTCCCTCTCTCTATCCCATTCTACTACTATTTCAAATAATAAAATAAATCTTTAAAAAGTACATTTTTAAATCTTTAAAAAGTACATTTTTACATCACTTCAGTGAATATTTAAATATCACATTACTATATTTTTTTCTTACTTAGTTACAGTATCATTTATTACTTTTTCAAATCCTCATGCTTCTTTTTCAGGAGCTAACACAACTTTTTTTCCATTTTGTTTTGGTAATTGACAACAGAGAAGAATTATCACTTTCAAAATAAGAGTAATGATTCTTTTTCTAAGTTTATATAAGAGACAGAGAGAAAGAGGAAAAAAAGAGCACCCATCTCTTGGCTTACTCCCCCACATGCCCACAACGGCATGCCTCGCCACAGGTACAGCCAGGAGTCTGTAGTTTAGACTACATCTAGCTTAGACAACCATAGTATGTTTGATTTTCCTGAAGCCAGAATAATTTATAATGCTGTTTATCTTTGTACTATTGGTGTGTTGGTGATTTTTTTAAAATTTACTTATTTATTTGAAAGGCAGAGTTACAGAAAGAGAGAAAGAGAAAGAGAGATCTTTCATTCCTTGATTCACTCCCCAATGGCTGCAATGGCAGGAAGCAGACTGGTCCGGATCTAGGAGCTAGGAGATTCTCCTGGGTTTCCCACATGGGTGAGGGGCCCAAGGACTTGAGTCATCCTCAGCTGCTTTTCCAGGCTCACTATTAGGCAGCTGGATTAGAAGTGGAGCAGTTTAGACTTGAACCTGCACCCACAGGGGATGCCAACATTGCAGGCAGTACCTTTACCAGTTATGCCACAGTGCCAGACCATATATTGATGAATTTTTAAAATTTATTTATTTATTTATTTGAGATGTATAATTACAGACAGATAAAGGGATAGACAGATAGAATGATTTTCCATTAGCTGGTTAATTCTCCAGATGGCCGCAATGGCTGGAGCTGAGCAGATTCGAAGCCAGGAGCCAGTAGCTTCTTCTGGGTCTTCCATGTGGGTACAGGGACCCAAGCACTTGGGCCAATAACGGAGGCCATAACGGAGAGCTGGACTGGAATAGGAGAAACTAGGACTTGAACTGCAACCATATGGGATGCTGGTTCCACAAGAGAAGGTTTAGCCCATTCTACATCTCAAATAAATAAGTCTTTAAACAAATGTTATACATTAAGGAAATATTGAGACACTTAGTATACATATAAAAGCTTTAAAATAATATTTACATAATATATTGATATATAATTGGTACTCAAAAGTTACCCATTTCAGCTATCATCTCTTATAAACAAATGAAACAGAGAAGAGCAGGAAAAGCCCCAGGGAGCAAGTGAACAGTACCAGAAACCAATCAGCTTAACAAGGCAGGTTTTCTGGGGATGTTGCAGTTTGCACCCCACTGTATGAGTTTTTTGTTGTTGCCTTGTTTTACTATTTGCCCTCTAAAGCCCACTTAATTCCGTTTTTCTTCAATTTGCTACTTTAATTTCCTATTCCTTTAGCATTTTGTCTCAAATGTGTACTTTTTTATTAGGGAATTTCAAAAAGTTCGTGGAAAATAGAAATCAAAGATAAGCATGTTTTGGTGCAAAAAATATTAAATCCATTTTTATTTTTTGATTTGCTTACTTCCACAAGTAATAGAAGCAGTTTATTTAGCACCACATGATTGACTCAGGTGGTGGAAAGTTTTAGAGTTAGAGCTAGTTTTAATCCTGGTTCTGGCTCTCCTACACACTTTCCATGAACTTTCTGAAGCTCCTCACTTACCTGATTCCTCCCAAATACTTCATCTATTGAGCCAAATAATGATTATGTTATTTGTTACTTTATACAATCTTGTGATTATTGTATATAATCTTGTTGCTTTTTCTCCTTTAGCTTTAAACATATTGAGACAAGGAGATAGAGAAAGTAGTTGAACCACATGAGAATAAAAGTCCCTACTATCTCAAGATTTGGAATATGGGCTTGGTTCGCCACAATCTGAAGATAAATGGACCCTCTGCTAGTACTCAGCTCATACAAGTTTAGGGAGGCAATGCTGATCTAGGTTGATGTATAGCTCATTATACACTCTGTAATACATGAGCATGCTAAATGAAACACCTACCGTTCCCCATGACAGGAAATGTTGGACCACATGAGGAGCCAACAGTGGCAGGAACTGCATTCTGGGAAATTCCCACCCACCTACTTTCCAGAAAAACCTTGATTTTTCCTCCCCCTTATTAGAATGCATCTCCTCTTCATTAGAATAATCTTCCCTTTTATTGAATAAGTCATATTATGTTAAACACAATTCAGAGAGGAAGATGGAAGGTCCCACTCTATAGAGTTCCTGTCTGCTTTCGCAATAAAACACTGTTGGTCACCATTTGCTAGTCTCTAGCTTCCTCCTGTATTCTCTCTTGAAGTGAAATCAAGGACCCAGGTACCAAGCAGCCCTCATTGAATGTGGTTAAGAATTTGTTACTGTAAATATATTCCAAAAAGGCATACTTTTCTTAAGAATACGTAGGAAATAAAAGCAACAAAAAATGTACAATATTAAACATATATTCCATAGCAGAGGGTAAGGGTGAACAACAAAGAGATTACTAATGAACCAAATATTTGTAATAAACTACTGCACTCTTATCTAAAATTATAATTTAAAGAAACTAGTCAAAATATTTTATATTCTGTTTGAAAAAGAATGTGACAGGCATATAATATAACAAATCAAGGAAAGAGCCCATTAGAGAGGGTTGGGAGAGAGGTAACACTATATTCCTAAATCTGTATACATGAAATACATAAATTTGTATACCTTAAATAACTTTTTTTAAATAATTAAAATCAAGGTGAAATAAATTTAAAGCACATTTGCAATAGTAACAAGCAAGAAAATTCAGATAATTTGGTCTTAAATACTAAGAATGAAAGTAAATATGAAACAAATAAAATACCAAAAATATAATAATTGTTAGAAGGAAATCTTTTCCCCTACCAGGTTAGGCAGGTCAGCTAGGATTGAGGCTGCTGACAATAGACAATAGATTAACTGATTATCTAGACTAACTAGAGAAAAGTTTAACCCAAATGCATGCAAGAATACTCTGAGTACCTTTGGAGCAAAAATAGTCCTTTTTTTTTTTTTTTAAAGATTTATGTATTTGAAAGAGTTATATAGAGAGAGGTAGAGACAGAGGGAGATCTTCCATCCCTTTGTTCACTCCCCAGATGGACACAATGGACACAGCTGGGCCAGGGAGAAGCCAGGAGCTTCATTCCAATCCCCGACATGGGTGGCAGGATCCTAAACATTTGGCCATTTCCCGATGCTTTTTCCAGGCCATTTGCAGGTAGCTGGATTGGAAGTGCAGCAGCAGGGACACACACTGGCACCCAAATGGGAAGCTGGTGTTAGGTGACAACTTTATTGTCTATGCCACAATGCCAGCCCATGCAAATAGTCTTTGGTAAGGGTTTATCTATCCTCTTAACAGAGTGTGAGTGTATATGTGTGAGCGGCTGCTTAGGGCTTTGCGAGAAATCAAGGAAGGCTCTATTGGGCTTTGTCATAGCTGTGCTAAGGGTCAGTTTTGGAGACGGTTAGGGCAGCTATATTTTTCAGATGCTTAGCTTTAGTCAGATAAGATTTACATTATTTATTTCTACATCTGCTTGAAGGGGACAGACTGTATTCAAATCACAGCAATTATTATAATCTACTTTGTCACACAATGCTACTCTATCAATGTGTTATACAATTCTCTACATAAATTTTTAAATAATTTTCTAATGATGTTCATAAATAATAGTAGTCTATTTGGAGAATAACTGTCTTTGTTGTGTTATTTTTGCATGTTTCTCTCAGTACTGTGATGACTTTATAAAATGGAAGTTTGGAGAGGTCTTTTGGTACAGCATATAAGGTACAACTTGGGACACCCACATCCTATATTAGAGTGTCTGAGTTTGAGTCCTGGCTCCACTTTCAATTCTAGTTTCCTTCTACAGCACTTCCTGGGAGATAGTAGATGCTGACTCAAGTACATGGATCCCCTCCAGCCACATAGAAGACCTACTTTGAGTTCTAGGTTCCTGCCTTCAGTCTCACTCTGCTCCAGTTTTGTGGGCACGTAGGGAGTGAACCAGAGAATGAAGATCTGTATATTGTTCTGTCTTTTGCTGCCTCTCTATCTTTGCTTTTCAAATAAATAAAAGTAAATATTTGTTTAAAAAGGAAATTAGGAGCTAGGAGCTTTTCTTTTGCTGAAATCTATTTGTTTAAAGTTTAAAATAATTTATCTATTAAGTTATCCAAGTATATTGTTTCTATGGCAGCATACTTTGGCAATTTTCCTTGTTTTTATAATTTTAATATGAATTTATGATCTGTTTTAACATGTTTTCGTTCATTGACTAGATTTTCCCCAGGGTTGATCTTGTTAATAGGGATGACACAAATGTTTGGAACATTAGCTGGTATTTTCAACATAACATTCTTCCTTATTCTAAGAACATGATTTTGTGTAAAAATCTGCACTTCCTTGAGCTCAAAGAACACCCACTAGTAGGACAATATAACCATAAGAGTCATAAGGATAAGTTTCTTCCAACTTTGCCGATGATTATTGTGAAGTAATAACTATAGAAAAAAAACCAAGAAGGGTCAAGGAGGAGTCATTCCTCATTTGGAGAGAGAAATAGACCCTCCTCACCCTTAGGGCCAGCCTCTTCTTAACACCCTCTTCTAGGAATCAAGTGAAAAATGATTTGCCTGACTGAAGAAAATACATCTGGCACCTAAGTCCCTTCCAGATTCTGCCCAGGGGTATTTACCACAAGAAAGACAACACCCACAGAAACACCAGGCACTTGTCACAGCTGAAGTCTTTACTGGGCTGAACATACATATGCAGACATATGCTCACAATCCTACAGTCTAACACATACACACACACATGAGGGGAGTTCAAAAAGTTTGTAGAAAATGCATTGTAGGAACAAACTTTTCATGGTGTAAGAAAATATTTCCACCAGCATAAACTGACCTTGTTTGTTAAAGATTAGCTTATTTACTGGAGAGGCATAGTCAGAGAGAGAGGGAGAGACAGAGAGAGAGAGGTCCTCCATCTGTTGGTTCACTCCCCAAATGGGCATAACAGCTGGAGCTGCACTGATCCAAGGCCAGAAGCCAGGAGCTTCTTCCAGTCTCCCATGGGGGTGCAGGGATCCAAGCACTTGGGCCGTCTTCTACTGCTTTTGCAGGTCATCAGCAGGGAGCTGAACCAGAAATGGAGCAGCTGGGACTTGAATCAGTGGCCAAGGGGATTCTGGCTCTGAAGGTGGATGCCCAACCTACTATGCCACAGTGCCAGTCCCATAAAATGACCTTTTGCTACCACTTTTACATATGCTCATTTTCACTTTATGATTCCCTAAAATAACTCGTTGATTGAAATGTTGTGGAAAAGGGAATTTTTATATTTTCTTGGTAATGTTAAAATTTAGGGCTAATATTTTTTTTCTCTCTAAAAATTTTATTTATTTGAGAGGTAGAGTTACAGACAGAAAAAGGGAGAGACAGAGATAAAGGTCTTCCATACACTGGTTTACTCCCCAAATGGTTGCAATGGCTAGAGCAGGGCTGATCTGAGGCCAAGAGCCAGGCGCTTCTTCCAGGTTTCCCAGAAGGAGCAGGGGCCCAAAGCACTTGGGCCATCTTCCACTGCTTTCCCAGGCCATAGCAGAGAGCTGGATCTGAATAGGAGCAGTTGGGATACGACTGACACCTATATGGAATGCTGGCTCTGCAGGCGGAGGCTTAGCCCACTACATCACATCATTGTACCCAAGCATTGTTCTATAAGTATTTTATGACCAATTATTTATAGATTATGAAAATACAAATTGCAAAATCAAGTTGATTACTACTTAGAACACGCTTTACTTGAGCTTTGATAATATTATGACTCTGTAGAGATGAAGGTTTATTTAGGAAATTGAATCTCAGTGGAAAACAGTTCTAACATAGGGTTAGGATCTTGCTGAATGCATTGAGGAACTTTAAACGTGAGTTTTCTGCCCTCTCGTGGCCATCTCTCAAAATACAGACAAAGCTGTATGAGAATGAAGACAATGAAAGCATACAGAGTACAACCCAAGAAGCAAAGCTCTTGCCCATTTTAAAGGTTTGGGGTTCTGAGAAATCATCTCACTTGATTTACTAATTTTATTTTGTGTCATGGACGAGGCATTGTGGCCAGCCAGTTAAGCAGAGCCGAATCCCATACAGGCACAGGTTCTGATGCTGCTACTGTGTTTGTTTTTTTTTTTTTTTTTCTTTCCTCATGACTTAGTGAGGATCAGTACACAGACATTTTAATTGGTACACAATTCTTCACATGCGTACCTAACATCTAAAAAGCCATGGTTTGTCCTTCTTTTATTTAAAGTTATTCCTGTGACTTTCCAGCTTCAAATTTGAAGGCGACTCTTGCTGAAGAGACTATCAAGACCCACTATCATCAAAGGTACCTGTTACATAAGTCCCAGCAACTCACCATTTAATATCATATACATGACATACTCAACTTCTCAATCTTCCACATTACTAGGAGGACTGGACTCCCACAACCAAAGATGTTATGAGCACACAGCAATCTGACAGAGCAACAAGATCTGGTTTTTTCTAGGAAACAGCACCACTAAACATGGGGGAAGTCATGGAAAATACTTGAGACAGATTCAATGCCCAATTGTGACTGCAAATTGCTATTTATTTAGTGTGTTATGTATTGTAGGATATAAAAACCATCCCCTGTGGCCTGTATTGTGGAGCAGCAGGTTAAGCCAGCATCCCATATGGGCACTAATTAGAGTCCCAGCTGCTCCACGTCTGATCCAACTCCCTGCTCATGCACCTTGGAAAGCAGTGGAGGATGGCCCAAGCCCTTGGGACCCTGCACTCACCTGGGAGACCTGGATGAAGCTCCTGGCTCCTGGCTTCAGCCTGGCATAGTCCTGGCTGCTGTGGCCATTTGGGGAGTGAATCAGCAGATGTAACATTTCTCTCTCTCTCTCTCTCTCTCTCTCTCTCTCTCTCTCTTTCCCACTCTCTCTGTAATTCTAACTTTCAAATAAAATAAATCTTAAAGACAAACACCTGAAAAGTGATCCCTGTTAGGAATTTGGAAAACATTATGCTGAGTGAAATAAGCCAATCCCAAAGGGACAAATACCACTTGTTTTCCCTGATAGGTGACAGCTAACTGAGCACCAAAAAGGAAACTTGTTAAAGTTAAATGAACACTATGAGAAATGGTGACTTGATCAGCCCTCACCCTGACTGTTGATGAGCAACTTAATATGTTATCTCTCTTAGTATTTTTTTGTTTGTTCTACTTAATACTTTTGGTTGAATACTGTAATCAATACACAATTCTTAAGTTCTGAAACTTAACTGAAAAGTGATCGCTGTTAAATATAAGAGTGGGAATAAGAGAGGGAAGAGATGTGCAATTTGGGACATGCTCAAGCTGACTTACCTCAAACCGTAGAGTTAGAAACATACCAGGGGATTCCAATTCAATCCCATCAAGGTGGCATGTACCAATGCCATCTCACTAGTCCCAGTGATCAATTTCTGTTCACAATTGATCATAATGATAGGACTAAGAACCAAAGGGATCACATAAACAAGAAAAGTGTCTGCAAATACTAGCTGATAGAATAAAAAAGGGAGAGAATGATCCAACATGGGAAGCGAGATACACAGCAGACCCATAGAATGGCAGATGTCCTAAACAGCACTCTGGCCTCAGAATCAGCCCTTAAGGCATGCAGATCTGGCTGAAAAGCCCATGAGAGTATTTCAGGCATGGAAAGCCAAGACACTCTGGGAAAAAAAAAAAAGACTAAATGAAAGATCTCCGCAAGTGAAATCCCAGTGGAAAGAACGGGTCATCAAAGAAGGAGGTACCTTTCTCTGAAGGGAGGAGAGAACTTCCACTTTGACTATGACCCTATCGGAGAAAGATCAAAGTCAGTGAACTCAATTGGCTTCGATAGCCTTGGCAACTCATGACTAGAGCCTAGGGAGATCACTGACACCATAAACAAGAGTGTCAAATTGT